GCCTTACTCGCCCGCCCGCCCGACGCCCGGGGACCCGACCTATAATCTCCCCCCTCTGCCCAACTTTCCTGCTCTCGGATTACTTCTCTCCAAATCCCACGACAGCCTCCTTCTGCCTCATAACCTCACTCTTCTCCTCTTCCTTTCCTCTTCCTTCTTTCTCGTCCCTACTATTACGACTGCTGTTCTTCCTCGTCTTCATCCTCGACGGGGTAACAAGCTTCCATCCCATCTTGACGTTGGATCACCACCTCCCACGAAAAAAAAACACCACCCATCCTGAGGACGACGACACCAACCGCAGGACATAGCCTGCCTCACAACCTCACATCAACCGCGGTCATGCTGGACCCGTCGGCGAGCCGGCGATACCAGCCGATGGACTCGTCCACAGTCTACTCCCACTCCCGCACCCGCACGACGTCCTCAAATACATTCCCCATCCAGAGCCCGACCCCGATGCACCTACAGCAAAATGCTATGAACCCACAACAACATAACCGCCGCTCCCCCTCAGTAAACACCTTCAGCACCGCCTCGAGCATTCCCCCACCCGCCGCCTACCGTACCTCGCCCACCACCGACCTCCGTCGCTCAACTTCCTCCCGCTCCGGCGGTGGCAGCCCCCAGCCGACGGGCTACGTCGCTCTTCTCCGCAAGCAAAAGGCCACCGTATGGTGCGACCGCGCTCAGTATGAGGACCCCCGCCTCTTGGCCCAGCAGCGCGCCGCCAAGATGCGCGCCACACTCGAGGTCATCGGCGGCCAGCGTACCGCCTCCGGCCTCTCCGTCCCGTCCGGCGGCAGGACGAGTACCGGCATCAGTGCTACTGGCAAGGTTGCCGCCAAGATCCGCCACCACGGCAAGCCCGGAGTTGTGGGCTATGCCCCGGGAGAGCACCATGTTGGCGTCGGCGGCGTTCCCATGCGGTTGAGCGCTACCGAGGTCGAGGGCGAGGACAGCGACGACGATGATGCGGCACGCTTGCATCACAGACGGACCGGTAGCAGCGGCCGCAGTAGCACAGCGAGCCGTCGCGGTCCTGGATACCGATCATCCGGCGGTGGACGTAGATGGAGCCCTGGAGACACGCCCGAGAGGAGCGGCAGCATGGTCGAGGACGTACCGGAGGACGCTACGCTGGGCGACAACGCCAGTGGCAGGGCCATGACGACTGGCTCCGGAAGCAGCGGCGAGCGAGCGGACAATGTCGGCGAGCTGGGCAATACTGCGGCGGCACGACTGGCGAGCAACTCACTCATGCACTCGACCGTCACCCGCGAGAAGAGCGTCAAGGGTGCAGACGATCTACGCAGGAGGGGCAGCGTCGACGAGCGCACCACTACGCTTACCGGAGGCCGTCTTTACATCGCTAACCCCGATTAAGAGAGGCCACGCTGCCCTCGCGGCCCCATACATATCTGTATGGACGAGTCGCCGACTTTCGCAATACGTTACGAGCCCATCGGGATGGGCTTCATCCTCTCCACTACGACGAGAGAAACACGATTCCACATTTCTCCGACTTTCCTATTCTTTCCTTGTCATCGGCAACCTGTACGAACGTCTCCTTGAGGCATACAAATACGGTCGTTAAGGGGGGTTGGGGGTGTTTGGTGATTACTTTTACTGTCACAAACTTGCATCACTCGGCGTTTTGAGGATTTTATTATTATGGGTTGGATGATACCATACAGAGACCGTCCCGAGGTGACACAAACGGTTTACCGGAAGTTGCCTGGGAGAGGAATCGAAAATCGAGTCTCCTTGTCAAAGATTTCCCAACACTGTTCCGCTCTACGATCGCTTCCTACGGGCCTACTTCATCTTGTTCCTACTATTTCCTTGGCTCGGACTCTTTATTTTCCTAGTTGGCGACGCTCCTCACATAAACGGACCATTGCGATCTGTTTCCTAATCTGTGGATAAGACATCAAAAGCGAGATGGGAGAGGGGACGACGCTAGCAAGATCGGAGACGGTGTTTGACGGAACGAGGGGAAGACATATCAAGACAAAATGGTCAGGGAAAAGGGGGCGGAGGATGATACCACAGTTGAGATTGAAGGCCCAGGGGAGGGTTGTTTGGAATCATGGGCAACGGGGGAGGAGGAAGAGAGAGGCTGAGACAAGCAGAGAAGCTCGAAATGCTCGAATATGAAAAGCCATTCCTGGGCATCGCGATTGAACAACCATTTGCCTGTATCGAACCTATGCTATGCCGTGAAGCTATGTGTGTGACCTCTGCTGCCCAGGAACGTAAATTTCGGGAGAATTGGTTGCCGAAAGGTTGATTCAGCCCAGCCAACCAACCTACTGGGGAGGATAGTCAGAGACATTGTGTGTGAATGTCTCCCAAGCTACGTAGAGGATCGTCTTGGCTCGCCACGGAGAAAGGGAAGCTTCTCAGCCGACCCAGTAATGTGAGATTACCTAAATGCTTCTTCAGCCGCACGCCGTTTTCATTTGCCACATCTTTTTTCTTGGGGGATTTTTGGGGGGAACGGTCCAGGCTAACTTTCCTAAGCATGGCAATCTGTCGAAAACTTTCTTGGACCAACCCATTCCCGCGTGGTTGAAAATGGGAGACGCCAAACCCCATCCTGTAAGATCCGGGGGTGGGAGGATGTTGACTCGAGGCATGTGGTGAGCCGCTTGCAGTGCTACACTACTCACTTTTGGCTACTTGGTTTATCCGTACAGATGGAGATACACTTAATTATCTAGGTAGGTATGTCATGTGTTCCAAAGATAGTACACTTTTGTAGATCTAACCTCCTCCTTAGCTTCCTCCTCCTTAGCTTCCCCCTCCTTCGGACTTGATGCCGTCCCTCTCTCTCTCTCTCTCTCTCTCGACGCTATCTTGTAGGTTCGTAGGTTAGGTAGCATGGGATTGTCATGCTACCATGACATTGGGAACTATCGCAATGGACAGGAACTACTGCGACGCTGTCAGTTCGTCTTTGACACATGCGACCTCGTGTTTCGAGGAATCTGACGGTTGACTTGTCCCAAGTTTGCCGTATGGCGCCCCCTTTCATTCTTTGGGTTCGAACGAGAACCCCGTACTCCAAACTTTGATTCCAAGGGTCTTTGGTCTGAGCCTTGTCGATGACATGCATTTCCTGGATTCCCAAGTTCCTTCTGCACAGATTACCAAAGGGTTTCCAAAGCGACACATGGCGGGATACGAGAACTTCTGAAGGCAGTCGATCGCCGACGTTGCCTTCAGGAGCCCAGCAACACCACTGCCACCACCCAATGTTGATCTTCAAGAAGCTACATGCGAAGTACAAACGTAGGCAAGGATTGGGTATCACGCCCAGCACTCGGGAAACGCGGCGCCGCAAAGTCAACCACTTGAGGAAGTTGAGCGCTGGTACTCCTTACGGGCACATAGGATACGCCCTCCATCTGCAGGCCATCCGTCCCTGGCATGAAGTCCTCGCTTCTGCACCTCGTGCAGTCTGCCTTTCTCAGTTGTTTACCTGCATTTTCGTGCGGGTATCGCTGCGAAAGAGAACCACCGCCACTTGCCGACAAGGCAGGGATTCCTTCCTCGCTGGCGGCAAACAATCATCATCATCAGGGTCCCTAGTTGACAGAGGGACCTACGCGCAGGGCGGGCGGCGTTGTCGATCACTTCGTGTTTGCCCGCGAAAAGGATGGAAAAGAGACCCCTAGTTTTTTTTTCCTTCCCATTTCCCACCTTTTCCTTGGTGATTATCGCTCTTGTCCGTCGTCTCCGTCTGCCCCGATTAATAGTGATAGGCGCAGATAGGCACAGGGTCGCCGGGGGGGAGGGCTTGAGCCTTGGCCTCTTGGGTAAGGGCATCGGGGTGAATGGAGTAACATGATGACAGGTGGGAAAGCAGAGGGTGGGAAAAAGGGAAATGGCATCATGATGTAACGTTCTGACTTGGGCCAAGACCGATTGACCCCGAACAGCGGGTCGCCCCTTCCCGGTGAGGTTTGGTTGGATGGTTCTCTTCTTTGGTCTCCATTGTATGTTTGGCGGCCCTTGTCTGCGTCTCTCTCTCGGTGTGGTGCGAGCGAGATGTCAGACCGAAGCTGCAGACCGAGCACTCACCGAAGATGGGGTAGCCAGCAGCCCCGCAAAACAGAGATGCAGCCCCGTTTATCTCCAGCCACAGGAAGACAGGTGAGGCACCGGTCAGCCACAAGGAGACGTATCCTGGCTTATCCTTATCGAGCTGACTAAGGTAAGTCTTGGAAGCGCGTGCAGGTGGGGGCTCCGTTTAAGAGGTTTTGTTAGTGCGCAACTGTCGGGAACATGGAAAGTCGAGTCCTCGACAATCAACCAAACCAAAGGTGCACTCTTTAACATAGAACAATGGGATAAAACTAGTCTTGATATCTCCTCAAGATCAAATGCCATGGTCGTTCATCATGGTCGTTCAACAACAGAAATGCGGTTCTTGGGAGACATTTCTTCTACATTGAGAGTTGTAAAGGCCGTTTAACAAAGTTTCCCCTTAACGCGTCGTCCAATCTCCAGTCTTTCCGCTATTAGGCCCAATCTCCCCCCTTCTGCACCGAAGGAGCCCTGCAGCCTGCCACTCAAGCAATTGGATGGTGCCTACCTTACCTTATTCGTACCGGCCAAAAGACACAACCGCCTGCCTCCTCAACGCCAAATTTACGCGTCAGTCGCGTCCCGACGGAACGTCCCCAACCTGTCAACCTCCACTAACGGTCTTTTCCACTTTGCGAGACCGACGACCAGCCGCAATTGAGCCTACCATCGCGGCCCCTTCTCAAGCCAGACGACACCAAATTCATTGTTCATAGTACCTTACTGTCGTCCCACCAGCGATTCACTCACCACCTATTTTCTACTTTCGTCTCGGACTGCCCGATCTAGTCAATCTCCCCCACCTTACCAACTGCCACGAACGCAACTTCAGCCTCATTCTACACTTTACACGAACACGATCAACCGACGAGCACTGTCGCGACCCTTGCGACACCCGACACCCGATGCCTCTGTTCGAGACGTCGACCAACATCCAACGAGAATCAGACATGGAGGCCAGCGTCCTGAAGAGAAGTCACGACGACTTCTCCGGTGACGAGGTCACCATCGAGGATCGCGGTTTGCAGACCGGCGTCAAGCATCAGGCCACCGAGGCCGTCGTCCAACCCACCAACAAAGGTATGAGATACTTTGTCTGTCCACATTGTGGCCATAATTTTGCTCCGGTCACCCATCTAACCTCCATAGCCATGTCCCCCATCTGCGAGATGCCCGCCCGCGACACATCGCCATGCCCAAGCAGCCCAAGCTCGCTGACCGACGCTGGCACCCTCACACCAGAACGCGGTTCGCCCTCACCCGACCTTACACCTAACAAGAGCACGAGTCCCCTGAAGCAGTCCACAATCGCCTTTCCCGCTTCATCATCAAACACCCCTGCCTCAAATCCTACTACCTCAACAACCCAACCTACCAAACGGAAGCGCCGGACCGCAGCCGAAAAGGAGGCCGAGGAAAAGGAAAAGGCACATAAGAAGAAGGAGCGCGAAGAGAAAAAAGAAGCCAAACAGGCCGAGAAAGCAAAGGCCGACGCTGAAAGACAAGTCAAACAGGCCGAAAAGGCAAAGGCCGACGCTGAAAAGCAGGCCAAACAAGACGAGAAGCGCCGCAAGAAGGAAGAGGAAGAACGTAAAGTGCAACAGGAAAAGGAGAAGAAGGAGCGTGCCCAGCCGAAGCTCATGTCCTTTTTCAAGGCACCCGCCACACCCAAGAAGGATGCTGTGGTGCCTATGATGAAGATGGGGAGCCCTTCCAAAGCCACACTTACTCCAGACGCCAAAACACCCGCACTCAAGAAGGAGGAGCTATCAGAATATGAGAAGCGGTTCAAGCCGTTCTTTGTGCAAAGCAATGTTCGCCTGGCCAAGAGCCCCTTCGAGATGGACGACGAGGCACACGAGGCCAAGACGAGGATATTGGGAGAATACTTTGATGGGAAGAGGGAGTCAACACAAGCGGGCAGCTTTGACCCCGTCGAGGTTTTCCAACTTAGCAGTCGTCCTGCTCCGCGAGGCAGAATCTATCCCCCAGTGCGGTTCAGCATTGAAAAGATGCGAAAGCTCACACAGGAAGCAAGCAGCGAGGAGGACAAGAAGGCAATCGCAAAGGACATTGCAGATGCGCTGAGAAAGGTCCCCACAAAGTCACTCAAGTTCTATCAGGATGTGCGCCCCCCTTACAGAGGCACCGTCACCCTCCGGCCCTATCAAGCAGGCAAATCTGGCATGCGACGCCTCGCCCGAAAGCCCACTCGCCGCGACCAACTCCCCGTGAACTACGACCACGACTCGGAAGCCGAATGGGAAAGCGAAGGCGAGGACGTCGACATTGACGACGACGATGACGAGGATCTCGATGCCGACGGCGAAGACATGGACGAGTTCCTCGACGATTCGGAAGACAACGGCCCTGCTCGCTTCGTGAGTGCCAACGGCCTCGAGCCTGAGAGCACCGGAGTCTGTTGGGAGGATCGCACACGCAAGGGTCCCAATCGTACTGTATACGAACACAAGATGGAATTCATTCTGGGTAAGCTATGTTCCGTCTCCCGCTCTTTGTAGCCGCGTTAACGCATGTTTTAAAGAGAGCCTCGAACACCACCACAGCATCGATCCTTTCTCGACGAAATACTGGGAACCCGAACCGAAGCCCAAGCCTGTCGGCCGCCCGCCCAAAGACAAAGCGGCCAAGGCCCAAGCGACCAAGGACAAGCCTGCCGCAGACTCGAAGCCGGTCGACGCCTTTAAGGCACTTACATGCGGTGGCACAAAGAGCAGCGTACAGTCGCTACCGAAGAAGATCTTGGAGAACAACAACCTCCAGGAGCTCAAAAAGGTCATTGAGGCGAATCCCAAGATCGCCAAGGGTGGCCTGGTCGACCTCTCATACGTTGCACTTGCCCACGCCAAAATTTCCCGCAACGACCTGAAGGAGGCCATCGCCATGATTGCAGAAAAGGTCGGCGGTAAAGGGCTTGCCGGCTCCTGGGCTATCAAGTCAGGTTTCGACGTTTGAAAGAGAGAACCGACATGTTGCGAATATTTGGACGTATGAAAAAAGGAAGGCATACTATTCTGATTCGATGAGGATACCTCTGCGGACATGTTTATCCCACCCACAGTTTCTTGTTCGCCATTGTTGGAGTAGTTTTTTTTTTTGGGGGGGGGGAGTTGTATGGGTTTCGTTTCTTTTTCTTTTCGGGTCTCTGAGATCGTTGTCGGCTGAGGGAACAAGGCACAGGCCTGGTGGATGGACCCCCCAGCATCTTTTACGAGCCACGCACAATAGTGGTGGACTCTATTGCATGTACTACATGCCTGTTGCGCCTTTTTGGGCGGTTATGATATGATGGCATAAGGGCGGCGTACAGTGGATTATTCTATTTTCTTTCTTCTCGGACGGTATTTTACATGGATGCATAATTGCTCTCTGGACCACTGGTCGCAGCGGCCTTGGTAGGCCTTGGTAGATGGTAGAAAGACAAAAATCTCAACATGCATGTGTACCCTCGCGCCGTACACGTGTGAAATGAAATCTAAATACCGCTATGGGAAGATGGATTGTTGGCGAAGCACCCGCACCCAGTCATGATTCCCCATCGTCGCCTTGCTGCGAGGAATGTGGAGGCGGATGCATTCATGGACACATGTACTCTCTAGGGATCCTATTGCCGGAGGATGCAATGACTCGCATGATGGACATTAGGGGTCTCTTGGTTCTGATCGAAGTGCTGTAGGCTAGTAAGAGGCAGGACTTTGAGAACTGGACCAAGCATACACACGAGAGTGTGGTGTGGTGTCAAGATGATCGTATCAAGCGCAGTTCGCAAGACAGAGCCGAGTATTCGACGTCTGTCCTGGACGTTTGGCGCTATTCTGATGGGGCGCCGGCTATCTTTAAGAGAAACTCCTTGGGCGGTGGGCAATTGGCGGGCAATCTCACCTTTTCACTTGTCCAACATAGATGAAATTCGAAGCTGATTGAAGCAGCTTTCCATGATAACAAAGGGAGTTTAATCGTCTTATTTCAGAGCCGCCGCTCAGGGCTCAACAGCTGTCATCTGATGAAGTCCTACTGAAACACCAGGTCCCTTGCAAGAGAACTCGGTCCTTGCCTCGCTGAAATTGGCTACTTCAATCTTGAGTAGGATGTCGACTCGTCAACATTGTCGCAGAATTGCCCTATTGCCAAAGCCAGTTAGACCAACATTCGGATCCCATTTGATTGGAGGGATTTTCAATCTGAGCAGACAGGCTTCCATAATCTGAATGGATATGTGCCGGGAAATAGAGGCAAGTGTCCAAGCTGTCGGGCTCGGGGAGTCGGCAAGCGGCGAAATTGAAGTAGATTACGCCGGTAGTGTCGGATTGAACAATACGAAAAAGCTTCTTGAAGGAAGGCAGGCGGGAGAGTCAGACGAAGCTTCATTCGCCGTGTTACATATAGATTGCGTTAGTGCGATTCGGGACTGTGATACTCGAGTCGCGCAGCGCAGGTCAGCGTCGAACCCTGTAACTCAGATTCGTGAAGACAAGACAAGCTTTCTGAGCGAGTGGCTCTCATCTGGGGTACCTGGCTTCTCTGCGCCTACGTTGCCTACTTTGGTCAAAGACAACGCTCTTTAATCACCGTGCCCTCCGTCTTCCAAGCCGATTACCCGGAGAACTTCTGCCATTGACTTTGGGACACTCCACATGCGTAAGTGGTAGCTTACGTCGAGTAAATGAGGACACTGGGATTGGAGTCGTCCAAGTTTGCGGGAAAGACGGCTTGAGATATGAGTTCGTCCCATGGCTTTCTTCGCCGCACTTAATCTAACTCAGGGAAACCTACACCCACGTCGCGCCAATGAAAGTTAGTTAGAGGAGTTCATCATAACTTCACAAGATCATGGACTGGAGACCCTGAACTGCCAAGCATGCCAAGATATATATAAACCATCGTGCGTGGGAGCACCAAGGAGTAGGCACCAGCTTTTCAACCAAACCGTTCTTTACAGTCGTTGTCGCCATGCAACATCCACTCCTTAGCATTGCATTCCTTGCCTCTTTGGCCTCTGGCTATTGGCTGCCCGAGACACTGGGCAAAGATCAGTTCAAAACTTGCGTCGTCCCCAAGTCCAAAGGCGATGACGCCCCGACCATTCTTTCGACAGTCAAGTCATGCGGCAGCAACTCCCGCGTGGTCTTCAGCGCCGGCACAGAATACAGTCTCCTCACTCCCTTGAAGTTCACCGGCCTCACAAATGTAGAGTTCCAACTCGAGGGTAACCTCACCCTCTCAGACGACCCGGCCGCCGTCTCCGCTGTCGTCAACAACCTCACCATATACCCAGGCCACTGGATCACCGTCGCCAACAGCAAGGGCGTCACATTCACCGCCACCACCTCCCAGGGAGGCGGCTGGATCAACGGCCACGGCGACAAGTGGTGGTCCAGCGCCAACGTCAGCAGCAACAATGGACGCCCGCACATGTTCTCGTTCGGCGTGACGAGCCTGCGGCTCCGGGGGCTCAAGATCCTCAACCCCGTGGCGTGGTGCTTCTCGATGGGCGGACAGGATGTGTACATGACCGACACCGTGCTGGACGCGCGCTCCAAGAATGGGTTCCCGTTTAACACGGACGGTATCGACGTTGGCGGTTCCGATATTGTTATTGATGGGTGGACAAGCTGGAACGGCGACGACATCATCAACGTCTCCCCGCCGGCCGTCAACGTGACCATGCGCAACGTTGTCGGATACGGCACGCACGGAATCTCCGTCTCTTGTGCGTCTGGCTCGGGTAGTGGGTACCTATTTGAAAATACAGAGATTCACGACTCGCTGTTGGGAGCTCGCTTCAAGGGCTCCGTGGGCACAACGTGCCAGATTTCGGATGTTACCTGGCGCAACTTCACAATCACAAACACGGCTTACCCCGTTCACTTCATCGAGAACTACGTCGATCAAGAGAAGGGGGCTGCCGGAAAGGACGCTTCCCTGGCTGCGTTTGCAAAGAATTTCCACTGGGAGAACATCAAGGCGCACACTGGTAAGGGTCTCACGGACGGCAGCTGTACTTCCAACCCCTGCTGGAGTCAAACTCTGGGTGAGTACTACAAACCCCCACTCTACGCAATGGCACATGTGCGAGGAAATGCTAATACTCAACTCTCATTCTCAGGCGCCTCAACCAAGAAGGGCTTGTACGTTATATGCAAAGACGCGGCGCATTGCCAGGACTTCACTTTCAAGGACATCACCCTCGTGACAGCTGTAAGTTCAAAAAGCAACCACTTGATGAGAGAGTTCTTGCTAACAGCACACAGGATGGAAGTGCAGGTGAGATGGAATGTGTTGGACTTGAAGGAGCCACTGGTCTCGGCATCCCATGCACGAATGGTACTTTGACCGGAGGTAAGTAGAAGAACATGGAACGACGCGTGAAGGCCTGTAGTCTTGCACCGTTTCGTCGAATGAGAAACTATCATGCTTAATATATGCATCATCAAATACTTGAGTGTTTCCCGACATTGATGTCCTGTCTGCCTCCACAACATACAGTTGGGACTGAGGTTATGGTCCATTCATCCCTTCAGCCAAGTAACATGCCTTCTACTTGACATAAGTCGGTATGAGTACAGATTTTACGACATGGCCAACCCCGCCCCCCCTCCAAGCTTTTCAACTACTCACAAGTAAGCATCAAGGCGCTGGGCGCGTGAACGTCGGCCTTCTAGATGTGGAAACATGACAAACATGAGTGTAATCAATTCATGCGAGATCCGTTTCTCGTCAGACAAGTGTAGACAGGATACTCATTAATGACCATCAAGTAGGCATTGAGCTATCTTTGAGCAGTCACCCTGTTTCAATATAGACCGTTGAAGAGAAGGCGATTATACATGAGTCTACTTAGGTATATACACTAAAGCCGGCCCCTAACTCCGTGCTTGCCACGTCCATCATCGTCAACTAAGATTAAGTTGTATTTACTTCTTGCACAGACGATCGGTCTGCTTGATGAGCCAATCCTCCTGGCGGGCAATGTACCAGTCCTCACTACCGACGGCAGTGGGGGCGTAGAAGACACCCCAGGGGTCAATCTTCTTCTTCAGAGCGTACAACTTGGCATAGTTGGAACCGAAGAAGGCCTGGCCAAAGTCGGGCTCCATAACGTCGCCCTCGTTACCATAACCACCACCGCCGGGAGTGATGTCGCGAAGACGGCCCATCCAGTCTTGGGTGATGCGGACGTTGGCAGTCTTAATCTCCTCCTGGGTAGCGGTGGAGCTCCAGCCGCCACCGATGATGGCGAACATGAGAGCCTCACGCCAAGCGGGGTTGGCGGAGCTGGCGGTGACGTCTGAGGGGGCGGCGGCGTTGATGTTGTACTGAATGAGCGCGGAGCCCTCGAGGATGATGCCCTTCAGGGTGGCGATAGTCTCGTTGAGAAGGGCAGGGTCCTCCCAGTTGGCCTTGGGGATGAGACGGTTAGCGGTACGGACGGTGTCGGTACCGACGCTCTCCATGGGGAAGTGGTTCTTCCAGGTGGCGTAGAAGTTATCGTGCTCAAAGTACTCGGGCTCGACGCTGAAGCCGAGGGCAGTCCATTCGGTGAAGAGAGGCTCAACCATGGCCTTGAAGTCGGTCAGGTTCATGCCGGGGACCAACCAGGGGCGCATGCTCCAGAGGTAGGCACCGTTGCCGGCGGGGAAGAGAGTCGAGTATCCGTACGTCTTTTTGGCGGAGAAGTCGGGGAAGCGGCGCCAATAAGCCTCCATGGCGGCCCAGAAGACGGTAGAAGAGATGTTCTTCTCGGCGGTGTTGAGGCTCCAGGTAAGACCGGCGAACTGGGTCTTGGGGTAGACTCTGACGGTCATGGAGGTGACGACACCCCAAGTGGCACCACCGCCACCACGAACAGCCCAGAAGAGCTCGCTGTTGGTCTTGTCATCGGCAGTGATGTGGCGACCGTCGGGGGTGACAATGTCGACGCTGAGGACCTGGTCGGAACCAAGACCGGCGACGGGGCTCATGGGAGAGTGGCCACCACCGGCGATGTAGCCACCAGTGACACCGACACTGCGGCACTCGCCGCCAATGGCGGTGTAGCCCTCCTTATCGGCAGCCTCGTACAGGTCAGAGACCTGGATACCGGCACCGAGCTTGAAGGCGGGACCCTCGTAGCCACCGGCAGACTTGTAATTCTTGATGAACTTCAGACCCTTGAGGTTGTGGGTCCATATGGACAGAGAACCGGCACCGGTGTTCTTGCCCAAGAAGTCGTGGCCAGTGTTGCGGACAATGAGACGCAGGTTAAGGGTGCGAGCAAAGTTGACCGCAAGCTGGATCTGGGCCACGTTGGTGGCCTTGACGGAGTAAAGGGGGAAGCCACCAATCTCGCAAGTGCGGTTGTTGGCGGCGTTTTGAGGCTGGCAGGTAGAGCCCTGGTAGAGAGGGGACATGACCGAGGTAGGGTCCTCATCGCTTTGAGATGTTAGTCTGAGGTGCCAGTATTAGTCAGGGGGCAAGACAACTTACTGAGTGTCGGAGTTGGTCCAGTTGTCGAGAAGGTACTGGCACTTCTCGGCATCGTAGTTCTCGCCAGTGTAGCAGGCAGCTCCGAGGGGAACGGTCTTGATGAGGGAGTTGCCAGTCAAGAGGTTAAAGACCTTCCACACGGGCTCGGAAGGGTAGAACAGGTCGCCGGGGAAGAGCTTGCACTTGTTGTTGGGCTCAGTGCGCTTCTCGATGTTCTGGGCGTCAGCGAAGGTAAAGAGCGAAATGTTGCTGAGCTCGAGCTGGGTGAGGTTGGCCAGCACGGCATCAGTCAACTGAATGGTCTCCTCGGGGATGTCTGCCTCGGGGAACTCCTCGGCGGCGGGGGCAACAGTGGCCGCGGTGGCATCTGCAAAACGCGGTCAGCATGGATGGTGATGAGATCGGCGAGGGTGACGCCGGGGGAGGAGGTTGCTTACCGACAGTCTCACCGTCGACGACGAGCTTCTGGGCCCCGACGAAGTTGGCCAGCGGCATGGCCGCGGCGAGCAGCAGAGCTCTTCCGAGAGAAGGCATCTTGACAAGAAGGGAGATCTGCTTGTCGAAGAAGATTAAAGATCCTTGCAAGTTGGGTGCAAGTGGGATGAAGAGAGGGACAAGAAAGAGAGTTCACGATGGACGTGCTCCTCATCTGTAGATATATACGTCCAAGATCATCAACGGCCTCGGACCATTCCTGTCAGTTCTCCCCCCCCCCACACGTCGCTAAATACAACATTTGCAAGCTATTGGTATCAGCCGCATGATGCCTCCCAGGTTGCCGGGATCCACGTTATCGCCACGAGGAACATGGCCTTGGCTACCCGATGTGCATCGTATGTCCGCACAGGCAAAATGAAGACTCCATCGCCAGGAGTTGCTATCAAAGAAGCGGCACCAAAAAGCAGGATGATCATCCTCGAGGGGTGTTTTCCCACCCCCAGCCGAGCCGATGGAGAATGGGATTTCTGCTTCCTTGGGGCTTCGCAATGGCCTAGCAGGGATGCCTGTATACAAAGACTTGGCAGGCCAGGGTTTGGGCGAAAATGATTACTGTCTAGCCCCCAAGTTACCCCCAACGTGTTCCCAGCAAACCGCCGTTTCCGTCGACTCACAGCGGCATATTCACGGCACTCGCGGCAGTTTGCTGCGGGTTGGTTCAATAGCCGTACCTGGAGCCGCGCTGTAGAAGTTGTGCTTTATTTTGCGGAGGTCAGCCTTTTTTCAACGTCTGTGGTCGGTTTGGGTATGGGACGAAACTAGCACACACAACTCCAACTCTCAGAATTGCAAAAATCGCCAACACTATCAGAGCTCCTCCCGCAACTGCAACGTAACAGCCGAAAAGTCCAATGTCGGAGCGAAATTCTCGGACTCTTCAGTGGCATTGGCTGTCTATTGGCCCCTCCTCGAGGCACAATGTCCCGCCGGTCCTGCATCATCTCAGGGGCACTAGCTTATTCCCTTGCCACTTGCCAAGCCGCCTACTTTGATACCCACGTCAAAGAGAAGTCGGCAACGCAGGGAAGTTCTTTGAACCTGGAAGCGAGTGCTCTGGGGCTTCTTATCGTTCTAGAATGCACTTGTGAAGTCAAAATCACGCACTGAGTGCCCCTCATCGATATCAAGACTCTCGGGATAGACCCGATCAGAGTAATATTGTCAACAACCGTGCGCTCTAGACAACGACTCGAACACTTCCCTTAGCCATAAGAAGCCCAAATGAGTCTTCCTGGACCCGACAATGACCACACCGACTGCCCACCGGCCATTTGGAAAGTCTGCGCCGCTCAAGGCAGTCGAACGGGTGGGAACTCGGAGGATTTGTGTGCCGCCGGTCTGCTTTCTTCAAGGGAACGCCACGGCTGCTAGTCAGGCTCGGCGTAGCTAGGGTCCATCTACCTGTTCTTTGCAGAAAAACACGCCCCAACCGTTGTCGTTCGCATAGCTCCAGTGTCTGACTCTCTGTTACCTGTAAACTCTGTTGGTTCAGCTTGGGAATTGGTTGGTCAAACTTGGCCCTTTTGTCTGCCCTCTCTTCATCTCAAACCACTCTGAGTAACTTTCTGAACCCTGCCCACTGCGGATTTCGGATCCCGCCAGACAATGCATGTCTTGGAATGTGCTGGCAAACCTCATTGGCCCAGGGAAGTGAGGCGCTCTGCATAACAAGCGAATATGGGGAATGGAAGGGCGATCCTTCTTGATCAGAGATGATGAAGGGAGAGACCGAAGAGGGGATCCTTCCGCGGGTCAGCCGAAAACTTTGACTTGCTCAGCTCCTCCGGGCGGCAGGCTTTTGGATCCGTGTGTCGAGATCTGCCATTTGTTGCAGGTTGGCTAATATATAGGAAGGTCGTATTTCGTCTTGGTGCTATTAATCCGCACGAAACGAGAAAGTCTTGGGCAGCAAAAAGATTTCGGTATGGAATATTAAAAGATTTCCCGTTTCTCATAAAGCTGCGATGGAACCTTGTGGTTCGTCTCCGGATTTCCTCTTTCACTGGTGATCTTAGTCCCAGTCGCTCCGTCCCGGCTGCCGCAAACCTTCAGTCCCAGTCCTTTGCAAGTTCTTGCAACTACTCAGAAATCGACCTTTCCGAAGCCGACACCGTCATAAATCTGGCCGAGATGCCATTTCATCTGCTACCTCGAGGCCCGCCGCCGCATCCCGATGTTTTAACGATACCCACACCTCCACTTCAAGAGACTGCAATTATCATCGTCTTCTTCTTCCCAGCTCTATCGGTCTGCACCTTTGGCCTGCGGGCATATGGTCGGATAAGTACTCGTCAATGGGGACTAGGTACGGTGCCAGAACGACTGTGTTGTTGCTTGAAGCTTACAATAGACCATTAGATGACTGGCTATGCGGCCTAGCCCTGGTATGAGCCTCACTCTTTGTTTCCCCGAGTGACGTATAGGGATGTTTTCGGTCAAGGACGGAGCTAATAGTCAAGCAGCTTTTTGCAGTCTTAATGACACCTCCTCTATTCGTGTGTAAGTGGCATCGTAGTCCAGGAATGATGGCCTTACCAGTAAGCTAACAACATCGGAACTTAGTTATCAAGCTGAATTATTTCGGATGGAGAGCTGAAAATGTCCCCAAGGATTTGGACAACAAGGCCGGGCTGTGGTGGAACTTCTTGGTACAGATGGCCTATAACCCAGTTCTCGCTTTGGTCAAAGCATCGGTATTGGTATTCCTACTTCGACTAGGTGGTCAAAAGCGGGGCGTTCGAACTGCCATTATCGGGTTGAACATCTTTAACGCCTGTCACGCCGTCGCCGTATTCTTTACCGCCTTGTTCCAGTGCCTACCGATGGAAGCCAACTGGGACTTCTCTCTGCGAGGCCAACCAGGAACAAAGTGCGTCGACAACTCGTTCCACGTCATTGCATCTTGTATAACGATTGTGTCGGACGTTCTGGTACTCGCCTTGCCTTTTTGGATATTTCTTGGACTGAAAATGCCACTGGCGGCCAAAATGGCAGTAATTGGGGTTTTCCTCATGGGTCTAGTGTAAGTGACTAGATACCTAAGAATAACCTTGGACAAAGCTAATCAAGTTCGGATCAATAGAGTTACGGTTGTTGCAGTCATCCGAGTCATCCAGATTTACAAGCTATTCTTCGTCCCATCACCTCCAGGAGCCGACCGTTTTCACAACATTGGCCTTGTGAGCTCCACCATCGAGGTTAACCTGGCTATTTTTTGCGCCTGCATTCCTGCATTGCGGCCTCTGTTCCGCCGATGGATGCCGAAGCTGTTTGGTGGCACGACCAAGAAGACTACCGGGAAAGGATACTACGGGAAATACGCTACCGGCTCGTTACGAAACCCAACAGGGATACAAGAGGGCAACGATATCACACTCAAGGAGATGCGCTCACGAGCGCACTGCACGGAAATACGCAGTGTTTCCCCATCGGGTTCTGAGGAGGAAATCATGACATACAACGGAATCGTCAGAACAACAAACGTCAACGTCCAGTACGAATCAAATACCAGCGTAAACGACATGGAATCTCGACACTCGAGCGAGTACAAAACGGCCGACAAGCCAACGAAGAGGACAGCTTGCTAAAGAAGATGCTTGAAACTCTAATCGATGTTCTTGGGCGTTGTGGATCGCGGGACATCCCGCCGGGGTTTCAATAATACAACTTTTTGGATCTGCCGGGTGCGGGCAAGGAATGATCAACTAACCCGCACCATGCACATTTGCAGTTCACTGCCATTTTTTGCTTATTTTAGTAACTTGGATACCCTTCTATAATCTCGCTTTGGTTTACTGTTGGTTTGCTGAAAACCAAGACGCAATCGATGATCGTGTGATCTTGCCTATCAGTGGACCTGAATCTCTCGGCAGTCTACTCCGCAAGAACCGTCTTCCAAGAATCTGACTGAATCGATTGAACCAGAGAGCGCATTATGAGTTCACTCTCCCATGTAAAAGAAATACGTAACCCAGCTCCATTCCGTCCCGAGTACAACTCTAATTCTCGATTTCTCAGTGGTTGTTCCTCTGCTACCCTGGGCTTATTTTTATTAGGTCGAAACTCAACTACATGATGCGGGCTTGGCGTCGGTACCTACGAACGCTTAGTGGAGAGATTGGTGCAGGGTATACGCGTTGTCTCCATCCCTTCTAATCCTTTCATGTGCGGTCAGCGATTTTGTGAAAACTTACAAAGTGTATTTGGGTCGCACACAGCCCGCCGGCAGAGCTAGGAGCTACATAGTTCCGGCAGAATGGTTTCTAAAGACAGTTTCAATATTCCTAGATACCTAAGACGTGATAGAACTAGACTGTCTGAGTTTTGAAGCGCCCTAGAAGCTACGTAGAACCAGACTACTCCGTACCAAGTATTCACCTGAATCGTAGTCTCTGGCTTTCCACCTTCCCACAATGGAGAATTTTCTTCTCGTCGAGGAAGACGCGCTCTCGGCCCCATCCCGCCCAACTCAGAGAAAATGAGGCGATGGAGATTCCGCAAGTGAAACTCCTTATGGCAGTGATTGACATGGACATGGGCAAAAGGTCCTTGTTAAGCGTCGGCCCAAGGAATTAGCCAATTTTGACAGGCAATGACAACCCGCGTCGAGACCTAAGACCCTGACGCTAGAAGAGCCGGCTCCGCTGTGGTCTGACACGACTAGCGGTGCAGAGATCCTAGATCCTGGGATTCTGAGGAATGGAGTTCCCTGCCTGCCGAATGTTCTTCGGACTGTCCACTCATTTTCTGCTGCCCAGGTGGGCGGGCGCCGACGTGGGCAGACGCTCGGTGCCATTGGGCCTTGGGGAAAGAAGGGATACTACGACGGGGTCGACGGAGACCAGGTTAATCTTAACCTTGTTCAGACGAACTACTCGACAGGTTGGCCGTGATGCTTCGGGCGCCCGCATTGTGTGGTTGTATGAATTGCTGAAACCTGCCTGTACTAACACGACCATACGTCCGGAAGCCTGTTGGGTCTCACAAGCAGCCAGCCAAAGAGACGAAAGAGGCGACCAGTTGCCGAGATTCAAACCTGCAGTTGAGGATCGATAGTCTCCATTATCCGTACAACTTGCAAGGTTGCGATGCAGGCCAAGGCCGCTGATCTTTCCCTCTGTTCCCTTCCCACGGATTCCTGGGGATCGGTGCAGAGACCTCGAACTTGACCGCTGAATGGCTTTTGCATTTGCGATGTCCATAAGCACAGGACTCAGGGCAGATCAGGACACGAAGCGAATAGCCTTTGGTTGATCTTTGCTTGGCTTGATCAGCGCCTCAAGGGCATTGAACCGAAGCTTTGGTTGGGTGATCCGGGATACATGGGCTTTATTCATCGATTTCCAACTGTAAAGTCTATCCCCACAGCTTTGAGATCTAGTACCGCCAGGACTGGTAAAACTCAAGAGCTTGGAGCCGCGTTTGTTGATGGATCCCCAATGACCTTCCTGCGAGCGAGATGGAGAATTTCTGCATGTTCCAACTTGCCATGATTTAGCAAACACAGATAGGTAGTTTATGATTTACGGGGCCGGTAGGGCAAGCGAGCCTACGGGTATTAGGCGTGGCATCAATGATCCATGCCGTGCATGATATTTTACGGTAGGTGAGTGTTCCACAGCCAAATTGACATCGTTATTGTATCAATATTGACGATCGAGTTCACGAATTGTCCCGGTAACGTCTACAAGTGTCCCTCTTCTACAGAAGTAGTCCAATGTTAGCAAATCCAGGCACCAAACGTTCATGTACTTCTGTACACGGATTTTAGACGTGTTTTATATGCCATAAAAATAGCATATTTATCCTCAGTCTCTGGAGCAATTACCTCCACAGGGGCTTCGCTATTATGTGTTCTTATCATGGGGCTGAAAACTGATTAGAAGAAACAATCAAAATCAAACGAGATGCCAGAAGTTGTCTCACTCGTACTTGAGCCAAACAGATGGCGTGCCTGCTATCTAAAGTATTCTGTCCAAGTGAACGTTTCTGGACTTATCCGTTTTCTCAATGATCACTGCATACCACCTTGTTGGTCAAGACATGGATGAAAGAGCCGCAAACGCAGGATAGCCATCAGTCAAGATTGTTTACTTGGTGTATGCTACCTGTTGTGGCGCCTCGATGACCTCCGGATGCAGGCAAGCTCAACCGCCACATTCCTCTCGATCAGTGTTGACTGATTTTCCTGCGGCACCAGCCGAAAGCTACCGAGCTTACACATTCCTGTGGTATTAGGTTGATGGTTTCATGTTGACCGAATAACAAGTCTAGAGCCTAAGCCACGTGCCCGAAAAGGAAGGTATTGAAGATTTAAGAAGACGGGGTTCCTCCCAAGGGAAGTAGCGAGACAAAGCTTCACAGCATTGTCAATTACCTTCCTTATGTACAATGCATTCTTTTGCTTTGGTGTCAACTTTGCTCACTGCTCTTGCAGCAGTGGCCAGTGGATCATTCCTATCACTTCGAAGAGAATTATCGCTATGCCTCTGTGAAGACGAAGCCTGGGATATCACCAGGCGATGGCTCGGCATATTCTCAACCCCCGGCGTTTCTAGCAAGGCGGAGCTGGCCACAATCGTCTCTCAAAACCTCACAAGCTACGACGACACATTCGGTCCTCCGACTATCGGTATAGATCAACTCTGGGCCGCCCTCACAGCAGGCGGCAACGCCACAACAGCCAACGTGACGCAGGCGCCCAACTTCCTGCTTCATACTTGCGATCAGATTGCGTACAACTGGCAGTACACAGCCGTGACAACAGGCTATAACTCGTGAGTCTGATGCTCTTGCTCACTGATGGGTACAGACTGCTTATATGGCTTCAAGAACGGTACCGGTGGGAACTCCAGTTACTTTTGCCGGGAATGATATCATACGAGTGGATCTTGCGACCAGGCTGGTGTCGAAAGCCACGTCAGCTGGCAACTGGATTCTGCTCGCTCGCCAACTGGGGGATTCATGTAATGTTTGATGAAAATCCTGCTATCGGCCTGAGAGTACTTTCTTTCTCTATCAAACGGCCCTTCCATGTTCTGAGAGACCGAGCCTATTTTCGTCGCACTTAGACTTGAAATTCAAGTAATCTTGCAAAACGACAAACCTTTCATCTTATCAAGATTAAAAAAAAAACGGACCTGATTGTCTGAATTTCGTGAATGGAAGCTGTCCCAGCGTTCCCAAAAGTGATGTTGCGCACTGGCACTGAAGGATCGGCGAGTGCCTTGATTCACCAACACTGACTTACTGAGGTGTAAATGAAGCGAGTATAAAGACTCAACGCACGACCAGGCTCAACGTTCACAACAAAAAGCACAAATCATTTCACATCCAATAGCAATAATTTGCGCATGGCTACCGAATTACCCCGGCCTGGGCCACAGAGACGACGGCACTCCTCGTCCTCCTCCTCAACAGCAAGAACCCGACGGCCCACCTCCTGCCTATGAAGAGATCCAGACCTCCCCAGTCCGAGATGCACCCCAGGAAACGCCGATTATAGAATCGGTGACGTTCGGCTTGTCGACATGGCCGGATAGCGCAGCACCATATATGGTTCTCAACAAGCACCGGCCTTCAAACCCAGAAAAGAAGAGAATGGATATGGTCTATAAGATTCGCTACGGGACAAGGACCTACGAATTTATCCTCTACTGGTACCCGCCTCCAATCCTAGGCCTTCCGATTAATCGCGTCAGACGGGCAGAGCAGAAATATCTGGAGCACTTTGAAGAACTGTGGATGGAGTCTCCGACCCCTGAGACGTCTCCCAACTTCTTTCCAATGCTAAGACAGCTTGATGAGGCTATTCTCCACAGCATGTGCGTGCAGAAAGTTCACTTGGAACAGCTAGGTAGGCACGGGCCGTGGAAGTGCCAGATCGTCGACGAATATGAAGACCTGGACAACTCACTGCATGCGATGGTATGGGCCGAGGGATGGGCTGACCATCGTCACCCTGACGTTCTGGCGGTTGCAGTATATAATGGGTCTGATGTGCAAGTCATCCACGAGGATCGACCGGGTCAGTGAGGCCACACTGATTGTAGGTGGGGAAAACAAAGCTACTACTGGTAGTGAATCAAAGTCTAGCTCAATAGCAGGAACAGCAGTGTCCAATGTGATGAAGCGGTAGAGAGTTCCTTAGATCTTAATTACTTTAAGACACGAAGGTCCCAGATAATGTAGGAATTGTTGCGCGGTGAAAGTTGAGACATGAGCAATTTAGTGAGAGAATTGTTTGTATATATATTCGTTAAACCAAAACGCCATGGATGCTGAGTATGCTACTTGATGTGATGCTCTTCTCATTACCTGATCAGACTAGCCCATGTCTACCTGATCTCAAACCTCCAACTCCCTGCATAACGCCTCAGAAAACGGGCGAGTCAGTCTCATCTACGATCTGAACTTTGATGCTGCCGTTTCTGTAGTCGGACGCAAGCGTCAGGGCGTCGACGGCCTTCTCGAGAGGGAAAGTGTGAGAGATGAGGCTTTTGAGGTTGAGGATGCCACTGCTCAGGCAGGCGATGCCCGCGGGCCACGTGTCGCGGTATCTGTTGATGAACTCGAGCTTGATCTGGAGAGGTTTGTTATTAGTGAACGTCTGGTATGAACATTGCTGTGCATAGTCTCACCTCTGCAAGAGAAATGTGCATAAACGGCAAGTTGTTCATAATCTCCCTTCCGACACCAATAACCATAACCGTACCACCGCGACGAACAGTGAAAGCGGCAGTGCAGATACTGCTCTCGACACCCGTGCACTCAAGTACCGTCCTGGGCGCGCTATACTCGTCGTCGCCGAATAACTTGCGGATAGCCTTGCCGTTGCCCTCGTTGCCGAGCGCGGGGTCAATCTTGTACGTGATGACGCTAGGGATCAACGTCTTGGCGAAGGTGAGGCGGGAGGGCTCGATATCGGTGATGACGAGCGGGTGAGCACCCGAGGCCCGCGCCGCGGCGAGGGTGACAAGGCCGATGGGGCCTGCGCCGCACACGACTGCGCCGACGCCGAGAGAGAGGCCTGCGGTGCGGATGCCGTGCATGCCGACGCTCAGGGGTTCGAGGAGGGCGCCTTCGGCGTAGGAGATGTTGTCGGGAAGTCTGTTTAGCCACAACGTTAGCCACATGTTCCACCATCAACAGAGATGCACGTTGGATCTCATTGCGTGGGTAGCTTGACTTACTTGTGAAGCCACTTGGCCGGGTGGCACTTGTACCGCTGAATGGTGCCGTGGTATGGGTAAACTCCAGAGAACTGAACATCTTCGCAGAGGTTGTAGCGTCCGTCGACGCAGAGGAAGCATTCGCCGCAGGGCACGCCTGGCTCGATCGCGACGCGGTCGCCCGCCTTCAGGCTCTTGACGCCCTCGCCGACGCGGATGACGACGCCGGCTGCCTCGTGGCCGATGATGCAGTCTCCCTCGAACACAAGCGTTCCGATGCGGCCCGTCTTCCAGAAGTGGATGTCGGATCTGCGGAGTGATTTCAAAAGTCAGCTTTTGCCTTCAAGTTTCTTTCGCAAAGTGAAGTTGAGCTCTGGCCGAACCAAAGGGGGGCCGCCGTTCGACTTATGTGGACGAGGTTAGAAAGACTTACCCGCACACGCCGGTAGCCTTGACGTGGACCAATGCCTCTCCCGCCTTTGGTGCGAGAACGGGTGCTTCCTCTGCCTTGAGCTGGTGATCGGCTGTGACCACCAGCGAAGGGTTTGGTAGCGGCGCTTGAATGGTCTCTTGCTCGGTGCTTACGAGGGGAGTGTGGTGATGGTGGTGGTGTTGCTTCAACTCTGTCACGACGACGACGCCATTGGACTTCGCGGGCGCAACGCCATTGACTGGCGCCTCCGGTGATATCGTGGCGGCGACCATCTTGAAGGTGAACGGCGATCGGGAATAGTTCGAGACGGAGATGGCAGTGACTTGGGAGAAACAACCGCTTTTTCGAATCAACAGGCACCTGTCAGCAAAGCAGTAACAATGTACTTGGGATCAACACGGCACACGGAAGAAAGAAACAAAATGTCCAAGGACCGTCACTGGAAGAAACGTGTCAAGGAAGAGGAAACGGCTGGGCATCCCGATCTGACAGGATTCGTCGAGGAAGCGCTCCTATCCTATAGTCCGCCATGCGTTCCGTCCCGTCAAACAATTACTATTTTTTTTTCATCGTCGTGTGATACCCCCTCCGCCGGTAGCAATGTCCGAATTTCCAACAGCTCAACATAGCTAAGGGTCTCGGCAACATGCGGGGAACAGACCGAGCGACTACGAATTCCTCTTCCGTCGCGTCATTGCCCGATTGGGACATCTTAAGCACCCACGGCAGCTCTAGATCGATGCGCCGGGGAACATGCCGGCTGTGCGTCCAGTTCGTGCAGTTCGTCGAGATGATTGGGCCCGGATTCCGGGAGGCGATTCATCTTGTCATCCCCGAAGCCGCCGAGTTCCGAGCCGTCACCGATGCGGGCAGATTTAATCGGGGAAAATGAGTATGATCACCTCGAAGCAATCGCGCAAATCTCAGAGCTAAAGATGGCTACTGTTTTCGTGCATAGAGATGTCACCAAGTCGCAGACGCATTCAAGACGAATTGAGGTCGCGATAGCTGGGAAATTTGTTTCATTAATTCGTAGCAGGTTCTAAGGCCACCAATCCTATCCAAGCCTTTTTTTATTTATTAATTTTTATTTTAATTTTAATCCAGGTCTCTACAATCCCGTGACTATTGATGACACTCTGCTTAAGCAAAGATGCGCAGAGGGCGCTGGGGCAGGTAGAAACCAGGGTCGTTGAAGCGGAGACCACGGTCAAGGTCAGAGATGGACTCGATCTCCTCAACCGTCAAATCAAAGCCGTTAACCTCGAGGTTTTGCTTCAGGCGGTGCTGACTGTTGCTCTTGGGAATGACAGCGACGCCGCGCTGCGTAGCCCAGCGCAGCAGGACCTGCGCGGGGGTAACGTTGTACTTGTCCGCAATCGCCTTGATAGCATCGACCTCGAAGAGGCCCTGGGCGCCGGTGGCGCGCTTGTTGGAGATCTCGAGGAAGGACTGGGGGCCAAAGGAGGAGTAGGCCGTGACGGCGATCTTGTTCTCCTGGGCCATGGAGATGAGGTCGGGCTGGACGAGGTAAGGGTGGTGCTCGATCTGCAGGGCGGAGATGGGGTGGCGCGCGTAGGACTGGATGTCGTAGAGCGACTGGGCCTGGAAGTTGGAGACGCCGATGGACTTTGCGATGCCCTCGTCTGCGATCTGCTCCATGCACTCCCAGGTCTCGCGGATGGGGACGTTGTCGGGCTCGACAATGGTCTGCGCGGAGTCCATCCACCAGCACTTTTGTGCCTCAGAGTCAGCAAACCGTTGATCAACGATGGAGAATCCTGCACGGCATAGATGAACTTACAGGGTACTCGAGCTTGGAGGGCTCAATGTACTTGAGAGCAACGGGGAAGTGAATGAGGAACAGGTCAATGTAGCCCAGGCCCCAGGTCTCGTTCTGCTTCTTCGCCATGGCGACGGCATGCTCCTTGCGGTGGTAGTTGTTCCACAGCTTGGTGGTGATGAAGATGTCCTCACGCTTCACCAGGCCATCGGCAATGGCGCGGCGGACACCCTCGCCAGCCTCCTTCTCATTCTGATAGTCGTAGGCGCCATCGAAGAGACGGTAACCGGTCTTGATAGCCTGTTGGGAGACATTCACGGATTAGAGAACATGGCCAACTGGGTGTAGAGTTGAGTGCTTGGGTGAAACTCACGTTGTAGACAGTGTCGGCGCAGGTCTCACGGGGAACCTTCCACAGACCGAAGCCCACGAGGGGCATCTCACGGCCGGAAGCGAGAGTGATGGTGTCCTTGCCCATTATGAAGATTTTGAAAAGGGGGTATAGATACTAGAGTAACAGGAAGAGGAATTGCGTCATGTAGGAGATGAGTTTGTTCTGGAATGACGAGCTTTGAGTTCTAATATTCTCTATCACAAGATTCTGCTTTTTTTCTCTTGCGCTTAACCCCGCCCTCAGTCTAAAAGCGCACACAAACCCCGCCTCCGTTAGTAGAATGCCATCCCTCCCTCCGGCTCGCTTCTGAGCATCATCATGGAGGGGTTGAGACTGAGAGTCTAGGTGGTAGGGCCTACCGAATATGGAAATCTCAAGCACCGACGATTCAGAAAAGGGCATGCATCCCCGCGCTTAGCGTCCCCCGGTTTGACTCGTGTTCGACCGGGTTCCACGAGGGGTAACAAGCCCGCTTCAAGGAGATGAGCTTCTCTGCCGTCCATCTCATGATCAAATGGGAATTGTGAAGCTGAGAGCCCAGTGATTATTGACACACAGACTCAAGGGAGGTACACGAGTAGCATCGGAAGTTCTCCGGTGAGAGTTAGACCTAACATTGGAGATCCGTGGCCTATTATCCGTAGACTCAGCTAGCATCATCCAAGTCGCCAAAGCATGAGAATCATCCCATCAGTGATCAAACCCCATCGATAATATCCACAAACAACAATGTCCCTGTAAACGCTTACCCCGAACCGCACTCGTGTCAACTGATCCCCAACTCGTCGCTGTGTATTCGTCCTCCCCCCCTGTTCCACACACACCAACTTTCCCCAGAGACTCCAGCACTCCAGCAAAGGTCTTTCTTCCCCGTCCATGCTCCCAGAGCTCCAGGAGTCGAGACCGTACCTCGGGAAACCCTCCACTATCTGTTGGGGACCTTTTCCGCCTTCCCAATCCGACAAGATTATCCCCCCCCCCAGCCGCCGTTGTCCGTCCTCCAGCCATGGGCACACAACAAGCACCCCAAACATAGCAGCTGGTTGCGATAATGGCGGATGATACGGATGCAGTATCAGCAAGCGGCTCTGGAGCTGGAGCTGGAGCTGGTCCGGGAGGTTCGAAACAGAGACACAAGAGGACGCGGACGGGGTGTATGAAGTGTCGGGTCCGACGGCGCAAATGTAAGCCTCTCTCCCACGTTCTCAATGTCTTCTTTTCGGATTTCTCGTAAAAAGTTGTCGCAGACCCACTGAGGAAGCATCTCACCGACATGTTATGGGGTGACATTGTAGCTCTCACCTCTCTCACTCTATGACGCTCATCAAGTTGCCGTAGACCTCTTTATTGACCAAAATATAGGCGATGAAGGAAAGCCGCGATGCCAGCGATGCATCGATGGAAACTTCGAATGCCACTACGGCCCAAGACTTACATTCTTGAATAAGAATGCCTTGACGGTGTCGCCCTCGCCCAAGGTGGCTGATGCGACAACGCCGAAATACTCGCGACTTCAGGTCCGTAAACTACTATAAGTCATCACCCAGTTTCATGTTCCGCAACTCACACATAGGTGTAGTTTGTAGGTGCCGGGTCTTCCAAGCAAGCTGCCAAAGACCCATCATTGCATATATCTTCGCCGTCGCACGAGCAACATGGAGTCAACCGAGGCATCTCAAATGACCTGAACCACAACCACGAATCTCTACCACCACCGCCACCGTCGCAAACACCAACGCCAACGGTGATAACCTTCCATGCAAATACCCAAACCCCAGAACCGCCGCCAGCGGCGACCACCAAACCGCTACCTCTCGAGCCGAGCCTCGCGCCCCTGAATCACCACCACCACTCACCGCTTACGCAATGGCGGCCGCCTCAGATTCACGAGAGCCTCTCATCGCCGGTGCGAAACCTCGACATCACGGGGAAGCTGACGGGTCCATCGCCAAATAACGATGCCGCGTACGAGACAGCCTTGAACGTCTTGCTCTCGCTGGGAAACGAAGGGCCAGCGGGGCTGGGCCAGTCGCCTGACCACGGCTCGGGATCCTTTGCGGTTGGTGGCGATAGTATCGGGGTGGTGAGTCCCGGAGAGATGATGTCCATGTCGCCAAACTCGGTGAGGGAGAGGAGAGGATCCGGCATGTCTGCGGCCGGGAGCATATCGCAAGATCGCCTGCTGCAGCTGTTGCGTCACTTTAGGTACCAGGTCGCGCCATGGGTGAGTCCAACATCGAGCTTTCGTGTATAAGCTTCTGGTCGCTGAATTGCTAATGATGTTTTCGCAGCTTGACTTGTGTGATATGGGACAGACTTTTGGTCTTCACGTTTCGCGTCTGGCGATCGAGTCCGAAATGGTTCTTCACTCGCTTCTCGCCGTTGCTGCGACGGCACAACAGGCCGATATGCGCATCGTATCTGGCGACGTCGAATACCTCAAGTCTCTGGCTCAGGCGAAAGCTTTCCAGCCAAACGGAGCAGTCATCAGCGACAGCGATCTGGTTCACTTGACACTATCTACGGCATGCCGATTCATCTCCGACATCCCCAGCGGCTGGAACAGCCTCTCCACTGTCATAGATCACAACTTTTGGGACGTGGCACTAGCTGAAGCAACTCCAAAGACCATCTCGATATTAGCAGTGTTGATTCGACTAGGTACACCCGCTTCCTTGCCACTTTACCTGATGCATATTGTATTCCACATCATGGTTGAACAGAAGCTAACAAAGCGCAGAACTCGCCGCCGCACTCGTAACCGGCGCTCCCATATCGATCCCCGAACACCTATCCTACAACCCGATCCCACAGCAATGGAACTCCTCCGCCATCGCAGAGACAATCTTCCAATACACCATCGAACCCCTTCTCCTCTGCGCAAAAGTAGTAAACTTTTGCTCAGGAAGCTTCCCACCACAAACCCCAGCCGACCTCGACCTCGGCGGCGTCCCACTCACACCCGTCCACCGCTGGACGATGCTCAGCGACGCCCTGGGATCCTGGTACACCAACCGGGCGCAGGAGTTCCGCCCCATGGTGGAAATGGACGGCGGCGACGAGACGCTCTTCCCCGTGATCCTCTTCACTAATGGTGCTGCCGTCTTTGCGAACCAGCTGTATCATACGGCCATGTTGCTGTTGCTTCAGAATAAGCCGCGGACGTTGCAGGCGGCGACGGCGGCGGGGAAGAAGTCGTCGTCATCGTCTATGTCGCCACTGTGGCATGCTCAGCGCGTCTGCGGGATCGCGCTAAACAACGACCGGAGAGATAGTTGGGATCTTTGTTTAGTCGCGTCGCTGTATCTGGCGGCGCAGAGGATGACGTACGAGCCTCAGCAGAAGGCGATTCTGGGGTGTTTTGATCGTGTTAAGTCGACGACTGGCTGGAACGTCGACGGCTTCTCGACGAAAGTTCGAGAGGATTGGGGGGGGTTGATGTAGATAATCAGACACTTGTTGGACGCGAATACACCGCGCCGCCCTCAGGTCAACATAACCGTTACCACATGAGTAGTTGAAGTAATCAGCGTGACAATGGAGGATAAAATCACCTAAGCATGTCGGCAATCCTGAGTTCCTTACGGACCTTGTAGCCCCAAGCGGCCTCCAGATCATCGATTCTCCAGCACGTGCCCCATCCCGTTACAGCCTCGATGCTGCGGATGAGCTTCACGAGGAGAGCGTGCTCCGACTTGTGACTGAGAAGCCGGCCCGCGACCCAAAGGGGTTGAATGGCGTTGTTCAAGCAGCCTTGGTGTGGGTTCGCGAGCGATATGCCGCAGATGCACTTGGCATGCCATATGGCGGAGCCCGTGACGCCGCCCAGCTTGAGGTTTAGCGGCCGCGGCATGGAACCCAGCAAAAGTGTGCAAGCCGTGTGATAAAGCTGGTTCGAAGAAATGGCCGCCCAGTGCAGGAACAGAACCTGAGGGAACGGACTACTCTGGATGCTCTGGACGGGCAGCAGCTCCGGCGGCCGGTCGCGCGTCCAGGCTTGTAGATCTTCCCAGAGGCAAACCCAGCGGTCGGTGAGCTCGTCGGGGCTGCTGCAGCCGCTTGCGTCGCCGAGCTCAAAGTAGCGTGTCCTGTCGGCGACGAGCTCGCAGACTTTGGCGCAGAGGTAGACGGCGTAGTTGGCGTGCATGTCTGGGGTCCCGGACTGGTGGAAGAGTTCGCTTGCTTCGGAGTGGGAGGCGCCGCTGGGGAGCCATTTTGAGGGGGTGAGGAGGGTGCTTTCTGTTCCGTCGGAGATGAGGGCGCCGCATAGGTCTGATGAGTTTGTTAGCAAGAGGGTTGATTCTGAGAAGGGATCAAAGGGATTGACACATACCCATTCGTGCGTAGCACCAGAAGACGGCTTGAAGTAGACCGCCGCTGAAGCCGTGAACGTAGAACGAGTCAAAGAGTGCGGCGCACCCTTCGAGATGCTTCCTCCAGTCCTGAGCACTGGCCGACATCATCTCGAGGCAGCACAGAATCGTGCAGATGGGAATGATCTTTTGGTCTCGGGATTGCAGCAACGGGGTCAATAGGCGGATGGCTTCTTGGTATAGCTCGAGGCTGTCGAACGAGGTCTGCTTCCCCTCCTTTCGCTCCATCTGACGCGCCGAAAGCGCGAGGACGGCGTAGAGGAGTGCAGGTGAGCTGCGGGCGAGAACGGGGACTTGTATGCCAAAGGCCCGGTCGCTGTCAAACATGTCGAGCTATTGTGAAAGAATAAGCATTGGTAACGATGTTGTGAAGGGGCTGACTGTCACGGGAACGTACCCATGTCGCGACTTCGCCGACGTAGTTCTTCAGATACTCCAACCTCCGTCCTGTCCCCAGAATTTGGCCAGCCTGCCGCCGTGCGGCTCCCTCGTCGCCCAAGATAGTACCCGGCGCCGCGAACCCCCCAGCAGAAAAGCCACCATCAGCTGCCTCAGGAGTGCCCTCCCGTGTGGGGGCCGCCGTTTGCGCTGTGTTGAAGATGAGGCATCTCAGCTCCTCTTGGTAGGCGAGGTAACCGGGGTCGGTGACGAACTCATCGAGCCTCCAGGACTCTGCCGGCGATGTTGATGCTTCAGAAGAGAGGTGGCGTGAGGGTGTTGGCTCGCCGAGACCCCATGTTGACGAAGCAGCCGGCGTCACGGCTGAGCCGAAATGAGAGTAAGCTTGGGATTGTGAGTGAGATCGGGCATGGGATCGCGAGTGAGAGTGAGATTGAGGCTGAGAGGGGGTTTGAGAGTGAGAGTGAGAGTGAGATTGTGACTGAGACTGAGACTGAGACTGAGAGCCTGTGTTTTCTATCCGGTCGAGGGGTGCCGTCGTTGATTCGTCATCATTGGCCCTGGGCGAGATCATATTGAAAATCGCAGCTGATGGCGTCGTATTATGTGTAACTGCTCGCAGAATAGATTCGGTCTCTACAACATGAAAGTGACGCCCAACTCAAGTATCGTGATACTGGCCAAAGCCCACCCCATGGATCGGAAGGTTTCGGTTGGTCATGCGGGAGGAGGAAAAAAAGAATGGATCTCCTCCTCACCTGTGACCTTCTTGGGGTCGCTTTGGCGTTGGCTTCCATCGAAACCTGCCCGACTAGCGGATTCCGGATGTTGCTGGCGTCCAATGGCCAAGTGCGCAGGACCCCGGGGGGAGATGGGCGCATTGATTGCTACGGGGAACCCAAGTTAGCGGAACTTGCGGGGAAGTTGACCGCTGATGATTGGCTTTCGGGGGGGGGGGGGGGGGGGGGGATGCTCAGAAAGGGGGTGTTCTCTGCGTTCAAGCGTTCAAGGACGGACCTAGACCGACATCTCGGTGAGAGGGTGTCACCGAGAGACTATGCAGGTGAGCATCGGTGAGAGATAGTGAGTAGGTGGGCTCACCTTCAGCAACGTTGCTGTGCTGAGTGAGCATGTCACACTCCATGTCTGCTGTGACCTTCTTTGAATAGGAATTGTATCTAACCATCATTGACTTCATCTTCAACTCAGATTTCCCACCACGGCCTTGCCTGCCTTATGAAAGCCCAAGTTGATGAGAGATTATGTACCTTGTGAGCGAGGACACCCAAAAAGGCAGTCGCAGACCCATTCAGAGTCACCATCATTCGCTCTGGCAGCTGGGTGACTGGCTTGATCCCAACGCGCCGCCCGCCGAGCCAGGTCTAGCCAGGACGGACGGCACCCTCGTTGCGGACGCGTATCTGGTTCACGTCACAGGCATCGTCTCCCAGATCGCAAGCATCATCGACCTTCCATCTGACGCCGAGGACCTCGCCAGCGAGCACAAGCGCCTCAAGCAGCTCTTCCAGGACAAGTACATCACCACCAAAGCAGGCTTCATCGTCGCAGACTCACAAACGGCACTGGCACTGGCCCTTCTTTTTGACTTACACGACACCCCCGCCCAGCGCGAGGCTGCAGCCGCAAGACTCGCGCGACTAGTGCAGTATTCCAAGTTCAGAGTGTCCACCGGCTTCGCTGGTACGCCCGTGATACTTCACGCGCTGTCAGAGACAGGGTATGTCCAGCACGCCTACCGCATGCTTTTTAGAGACGGGGTGTCCTTCCTGGCTGTACCCCATCCGCATGGGCGCTACCACAGTCTGGGAGAGGCGGGACAGCATGCTGGAAGATGGAACGATCAACCCGGGCGAGATGACGAGCTTCAACCACTACGCGCTCGGTAGCGTCGCGAATTGGATGCACGCCGGCATTGGTGGGCTGTCGCCGCTCGATGCCGGGTGGAAGAGGTTCCGGGTTCGGCCCCAGCTGGGAGGAGACCTACGGCACGCCAGCGTGGAGTTTTTGAGCCCGTACGGCTTGATCCGGAGTCGGTGGGAGATTTGGGCGGATGGGAGGTTCGCGTTGGAGGTGACGGTGCCGCTGAACACGTCTGCTGTGGTTCATTTGCCGAATGGTGAGGAGGAGTGGACGATTGGGTCCGGGTCTCATGTGTTCGAATTCGATCTTGCTCCGGAACTGCGGGAGGCGTTGGCCGCGTGGCCGGCCGCCCAAGACTCTGTTGACGCAATTTGGACTGTAATGTCTTTTGAGCTGGCATAATCCACCTCAAAGTGCCTATGACAGAAGACTCAATGGTTTGTATCTTGCAACGCAACTTTCGACATGGTCTAATCTTACGTTTGTAACATTGTAAGACGGGCTGCTAGTTAGCCCGTTGATTACATCAATCAGGTAGTAGACGAAAGTTCTACGCGGCAACCACTAGTACAAGACTACTTTGCCGCCAAAGGTACAAGCTCAATGCTCCCAGTGCTCGATGATATGTACTCGGTAACTGTCAATTTCCTTCATCTTCATTCTCATGAGTCTGTCATAGCCAGGACTGTAGGAATCTCCTGAAGCTGGTCATTTGAGTGCTCTGATCGCTAGTTGTTAGGCAGACTCTCTTAGTGTTGCTGTAGAAACCTTGACTTGGAGCTGTGACCACCGCATAAAGCACCATTAAGAGGGACTTTGGGGACTTTGAGTACGGAGTAGGGGACTTTTGCGACGGACCCCTGCTATCTCTGACTCTGACCCTCTGACGGATCTCCGTGCCGTACAATTGCATCATTGCGGCCGCTGGTGACCTTCCGAGCTCGGTTACTTGCTGACGACGACTTACTCGTTTCTTTCTGATAGATCAAAACCTTTCCTCCTCCTCCTCCTCTTCTTCTATTGTCCAGAGGACCCTCTTCCAGTCCATCCATCGACAGTTCCCATCGTAACACCGCCCGTCATGCGCTACTCTCTCGCAGCCAAATTGCTCCTCCTGCTGGGCTCTTCCCAGCTTGTGCTGAGCTCCCCCGACGATCAGCGCGTGCTCGCTTCCACTGCCGAACCGACGACTAACGATGCCGCCAACTGGGGTAAAGCCCCCGTGATCGCGATGAAAAGCAAAGATGCAATCGCCGAAGCGCTCGAGAAATATGCCGACCCCGTGGACGCCCTGATCTCTCTCCAGCCCGAGTTGGCGGACACGCTGGCCGAGCCCAGACTCATCCACGTCCATGGCGAGAAGATGGCGGAATGGATGACCGAGGGCGATAAGCTTCGTCTGCGGCGCAAGGGCAGCAAATTCCGCGATATCACAGATTTCCAGGAGCTCTACGCCGACCACGTCAATACCTTTGCAGGCAAAGCGAGTAAGTCTAGTTCATATCACTATCGGGATTGCTCCTTGCGCAATACTTGTACAACTAGCTGATAACGTCGCGACTGCAGACCTCCCTAAGATCACTCACCAAAGCCTCATCAAACCCCTCTTCCCCAAGGTCAACCAGACAAACATGCACGACGTCCTGAAGCACATGACGAGCTACTACAACAGATACTACGGCGGCGTCACCGGCGAGGAGAGCTCCGTCTGGCTGCACGACCACGTCGCCTCCATCATCGCCGAGTCCCCCTTCCACGCCCACATCTCTCTCGAGTACTTCACCCACGAGTTCCCCCAGTCCTCCATCATCGCCCGCTTCGAGCCCAAGGTCCGCGACTTCTCCAAACCCCTGACCATCATCGGCGCCCACCAGGACTCGGCAAACTACCTCTTCCCCTTGCTGCCCGCCCCCGGCGCCGACGACGACTGCTCCGGCACCGTGAGCATCCTCGAGGCCTTCCGCGTTCTCGCGACGAGCGGCTTCGTGCCCAAGGAGGGACCCGTCGAGTTCCACTGGTACGCGGCCGAGGAGGGCGGGTTGCTCGGCAGCCAGGCCGTCGCAGCCTACAAGAAGAAGGAGGGCGCGAATATCGGGGCCATGATGGAGTTCGACATGACGGCCTTTATCGCGCGCAATGCCACCGAGTCCATTGGCTTCATCAAGACGGACGCGGACGCGCCGTTGACCAAGTGGGCGGTGGACCTGAGCGAGGAGTACATCAACATCACGACGAGCGTCTACGAGCTCATGCCCGGCGCGGGGTCCGATTACATGTCATACACCAAGCTCGGATTCCCTGCTACATTTGCGTCCGAGGGAAACCCTGTTGCGGGCGGGTTCCCTGGAGAGTTTGATCCGTATGTGCACACGGAAAAGGATACCATGGATGTTGACGATGAGACGGGCGTGTTTTCTATTGAGCACATGGCGAGATTCGCCGAGCTGGCTATTGCTTTTGCTATTGATCAGGCTGGATGGGATAACAAGTGGAGGTGAATGTTGGCAGCAATGCGGGCTGAAGATTGGTACAAGTGATGTTTTTGATGAAAGAGTCGCAACGAAAAGACCCCGACCCCCACGATGTTTCAATTAGGTATGGAGTGATTCAATTCTAATGACAACTGTTGATGCCTCGTTCAAATGTGCCTTGATGTTTACTGGGCTAGTTCCGCACACGACCGCTTTCTGATTGCGTTCCGAGCCAATTCCGAAGAGCTTCCACAACATAAGCCAAGCTCGTTGTTACATCGCCCAGTAAACTTCCTCTCCCAAGACATTAGCTGATGGCGTCAAACGACAGCAAGAAACTGCATAGCGCGATCGATGACAAATTGCGGGGGGTTCAATGACAAAGTGCGGAGACAAACAGACGCCTTCGGCTCCCACATGTAATTGCTAGCTGACCAAGCCAAGTTGAAGAGCCTCATGAAGTGATCTCATCTTCTCTCATCGCTCTTATAACTAATTGACTTATTCTGGAGGAACTCTGGAGTTCAACAGTTCTGGAGGATACAGCTTCACCGTAACGAAAGTACTAGCAACTCACCTCCACAATGGCCTCAGCAACATCCTTCCGCCAAATCGTCGGCGCCCCGCCAACGACGGCCTCACCCACAGACAGCACACTCATCATCATCGACGCCCAAAACGAGTACGCAGAAGGAAAACTCGCTGTCCAGGACGTCGCCTCCTCACGCAAGGCCATCGCCGCTCTGCTGCAAAAGTACCGTAACGCAGGCCAGGCTGGCAGCATCGTGCACGTCGTCCACGCCACCCCCGAAGGCGCACCCGTCTTTACCCCCGGGACCAAGCTGGCCGAGGAGTTTGACGAGCTGAAGCCCAAGGATGGTGAAAAGGTTGTGAGGAAGCAGTTCCCTGGTTCCTTTGCGGGGACGGATTTGCAGGCGCATTTGGAGGGGTCGGGTGGGAGGGGGAAGAAGATTGTGTTGACTGGTTACATGGTAAGTCTCATGGTAGAATTCGCAAGAGGAGTTTGTGCGATCGCTAATATGCTGGTCGAAAAGGCTCATGTTTGCGTGTCTACTACTGCAAGGCAGGCTGCCCAGCGTGGATTTGACGTTTTGGTGGCTGAGGATGCGGTCGGCGATCGTGACATTCCGGGCGTTGATGCCGCGCAGCTCGTCAAGGTTGCGCTGAGTGAGATTGGTGATGCTTTCGGTACCATTGTACAGAGCAAGGACATTGCTTAGCTTTGTTCAGAACTTCAGTATAATAAGTACGAGTTCCTTCGATCGACTTCTACGTTACGTCGTCCTCGATTACACCTCACTTGATCAAGGTACTTTACTGCTAATATCTTGCCACAGTCTGTGTCTGTGAAAGACACATATGATAAATCAACAACATCCCAAGCAATGATTGGACTATGGAATAACCGCAACTCGACTTTGTCATACGTTTTCGATAGCAGTTCTTGCTATTCAACACCATCTTATTTACTCTCTTTGGTCAAATATGTTCCGGGCCCACCAGTGGCCGCTTCGGGTTGCCTCCGCATTCTCCTCTCTTGAACGTTGAACTTCCGCAAGTGGCCCCAACGATGTGGTCCCAATGTTCATCAAGAAACCATTTCGGTAGCTCAGGATCTCTAGCCCAGGAACCATCAGACCATCGAATCCCAGATCCCAAGCTGAAACCGCCGATTGGCGGCGCCATATTGCGGAGAAAACGGCACGATGCCATCAAGGCCCTGACGATCAGCAACGGGTACCCAGAGCCTTTGAAGCCCACTAAAGAGGCACAGCAGCCGCTACTATCGACAGGATGTTGGCACGTTGGCTGAGCTCTTTGAGAACAAACCGTAGGTGCCGAGAAAAGAGCTACAAGAGCCCACAGGAACCCCATCGCTGCAGGGCCGCGCAGCCAACCGACTTGGCGAAGAACGAATTCATAGCCCAAAAAGGCATCAGTGTCGTCACCACTCTGTGCTGCTCAGCTGGAGAAAGTTGCTGAGCTCTCAATGTTCCACTGAACAGCTCGAATACTTACAAGGGCCTTGAGAATCTCAAGCGGGTTTGACAGCTTGGGATTCGGACCTCGGACAACTCAGTTCTGCGAGCGAAGCATTGGCGCGCTCATCATCATATGAGAAAACTATTGCCGTTGTCTTTGGACAACTCCACGATGGGAACTGGATTGGATAAAAAGGTATGACAGCCGCACAATGGGATGAACTCGCGATGGACTCGGCAACCAATTGCAACCACAAACCACACATTCCTCGCGACGACCAGAGTTATTAGACTTGTCTCTAGTTATTAGACATCTTGACCCAAACGAAGCCATCACGATGAGACCGTCCGCCCTCCCCACCATCCTCTCCTGCGCAGCCGTCGCGTCCGCCGTCGCAGTCACCAACGACACCTCGCCCGCGCCGAGCATCCCCAACGTCGTCCAGTCCACCTGGGACGGAAACTGCTTCTACCCTACCCCCGACGCCGCCTTTGACCTCGAGTCCTACCTCGGCCGTTGGTACCAGGTCGCCGGCACTGTTGCGCCCTTCACCGCCGGCTGCCGGTGCATCTTTGCACAGTACTCTCTGAACGTGCGCACATACTTTCCTCATCCTGACGTGACTTATCTTGACCAAGAGTGGGGTGTGACGGGCTAACGGCGAGTGACATTCAGGACAACGGCACTGTCAAGGTCAACAACACCTGCGAGGCCGGGGGCCGCGCTATCAATATCCTGGGCACCGCCGCGCCCGCCGATCCGTCATACGGGGCCAAGGGCGTCCTTCGCGTACAGTTCCCCGGCCAGCCCGGGCCCGACTGCGCCGGTCCGAATTATATTGTCCAAGGTACGTGCAATGCGTCCCAGTGAATGAGGGAGGGCGACATAGGCCCGGAGATGCTCTTCCGCGTCGGTGCCGAAACCTTGTCGAGGTACTGGAGCTGACGATGTGGTTTTCCCCCATAGACTACACCCCAGACTTTGCGCTCGTGCAAGCCAGCAACTTTACGACGCTGTTCGTGCTCAGTCGCCAGCGAAACCCGGAAGACGCCGTTCTCGATGTAAGCCCTTCCTTCTCCTTTCTCGGAACAATGTGCAACGCTATACCACAAAGGGGAGTAGATAAATTGAGGATGAATTCCACAAGCGTTGCAACTAGGAACAGTGAGCGCAAGCATGCTAACGAAATTGTTTCCTCTCGACAGGCCTGGATCGCACGCGCTGGCCAGCTCGGCTCGAACCTCGCAGACGTTGTCAAGACGGATCAGACCGGTTGCCAATTCGCATGAGACATGGGGAATGCGCCAAATGCTGCATCAGGGGACGGCGAAGAATCTGTGCCTGGCGCTTGGCCTGGAACGGAAGAATCGAGGTGAGACTTTGGGTTCTCGGGTGTCCAAGAGCGGTCTTTGGGGCCGATGGTAAAGTAGTAGCATTTCTACAAAAACAGACGAAAATTCCATACAAATGCCGGATGTCTTGTGTGTCAATGTCAATGTCAGTGTTGCAGCCGGTGACATTCGCAAACGGGATCGTAAAGACTTGTATGGGCTCAGACCTCGATGTTGAAGCAAGCCAGAGCTCCCAACAGATGAAGCCGAATCATTGGTCAATGGCCGTAGACCTCACAGGACGCCCCCGGAGCTCAGCTCAGCTCTCAGCTCAGCTTTAAACTTTGGAGCTTGGAGCTATAGCTTCGACACCATGGCCCCTAAGCTTCATTGTCTTTTTCCCATGTTTGCACCAGTGCAACCACTGGGGCGCCCACGGCGTAAGTTGTGCCACTTATGCAAGGGGATTCTATGACGACACCACCATCAGCCCGAGACATCATGACGAATGTGGCCGCGTTCGGTCTGTGTTTTCTGTGTTTGTGTGAACGCATCTGTGGGCACCCTTTAATTGTGGAGGAAAAGGAGGAAAAAGAAAACTGGAAAGGCTGGGCCTGGGTTTTAGATCTGAGAGCGGAGGTGAAGAGTGTGAATGATGGATGAGGTAACTGAATTGAGTTTGATTCAAATAGCTCTCGGGTCCTCCTTGCGAGGGGCTGCCTTGCACATAACTGCTTCCTGTTACACTGCTACGTGAAATCGATCGTTGTTATCCCACGAAAACTTTGATAGCTAGCTGCATCCCTGCCCGAGCGTTCAACTACCATTTACTACCTCCCAGTCACGTACATCATAAACCGCCAACATGGTCAAGGCCAAAGAAGAGGTCATCTCCGAGTTCAATGAGTACGTCAACATGACGGCCGAGGACCTCGAGTCCTGGCTCAAGTCAGACGACTCCAACAGCGCAGGCTGGCCCAAGGACGATGCCGAGGACGAAGGCGAGTCGGTCGGACACGACAGCGGGCGCAAGATTGTCGAGATCCTCCAGGCGAACCCCGACAAGAAGGAGGACGAGTACACGGACGACCAGGTTGAGCATATGCGCAAGGTCGTGGCATACTGGTGAGCGCCACTCGTGATGAGACAGGGCTGTTGGACTATGAGACGGTTGAGATGCTAATGAGCGACACGGGAAACAGCAAGCGACACTTGGCGCAAGAGTCAAAGTCGAATAGCGATAAGTCACCCGAGGAAGTGAAGAAGACCAAGTCGTATGCTTCACTGAAGAATTGGGGTCACGACTTCCTAAAGGCCCAGGGCAAGGAGAATGGCGCGTCCAAGTCGAATGGAAAGTCTTCCAAGAAGGTGGAGAACGGCGACGAAGAGAAGGCTGAGTCGAATGGGTCCAAGAAGCAGAATGGGTCCAAGAAGGAGGAGGAGGAGGAGGAGGTCGAAGATGACAAGGAGAAGGCCGAGGAAGATGCTGACGAAGAGGCCGAGGACGACAGCGAGGAGAAGGCCGGCGACAAGCGCAAGAACGCCAGTGAGGAGAACGGATCCAGCAAAAAGCGGCAGACGCGCCAGGGCGAGGGCAAGTCGACTGAGAAGTCGGATGAGAACGCCGATGATGATAAGGAAGAAGAAGCCGAGGAGAAGGATGAGGACGGCGACGAGGAGATGGAAGATGATGGTGAGGAAGGCGACGACAAGGAGAATGGTGGCGGCAAGGCCAAGAAGGGACCCAAGAAGGGCGACACTGTCAGCTGGAAATGGGGCAGTGGCAACCCCGAGGGCAAGGTCCTTGATGTGAAGGGTGAAAAGTAAGTGGTTCAAGAGATCTTGAGTTTGTGATGAAGATAGCACTGACGCGATACATTATAGGACGACCATCACGACAAAGCGTGGAAGCGAGGTTACTCGCGATGGAGACCCCGAGGACCCCGCTGTTGTGATCGATACTGGAAAGTCGAAAGCTGTCAAGTCTGCTCACGAGCTGAATGAGTAATGGGAGATATCTGGCTGCAGAAAAAGGCGTACTAGTACCCTGTGATCGATTTAGGTCCCCTTCCCGGCAGAGGAATTGTGTTGATGAAATGTCTATTCCTAGTGTTGTTCAATAAATTCAAGTCCAAACAGATTGATACGCAGTGGAACCTTTGTTTTGAAAATGTGATGCTATGCTTTTACACTCCTAAACTACATTTTACGTGGTGTACATACATAATTCGTCTTACAACTCCTCCATTCTCTCCGACTGCGAGGAACTACTCTCCTTCTGAAACTTGGTGATGGGATCCTTCTGGGCCTCCTTCACCTCGTTCCAGAACTTTTCACCGTTGTCCTTGTCATCCTTGAACAAGTGATCAATCACCAGCTTCTTGGGCGTCTCACCCATCCACTGGAAGAGAGAGAAATCGCGGAACTCATCTGCCCTGAAGATCTCGAGCATCTCGATTGGCTCATCACCGATATTCTCAACAAAATGGCCCATATTCTTCGGCACAATACCAACATCACCAGGGACATAATCGAAAGTGCGGGCGGTGCCCTCGGCCGCAAAGATGGTAATACGGGCCCGACCCTTGATGAAAAAGGACCACTCGTCAGCATTGGGATGCCAGTGCATCTCGCGCAGCGCACCGGGCTGGATTGTGAGGTGGGCGGCAGCAACCTATGAGAAGTATGGGTCAGTCTTGAACACCCGTGGGAGGCGTCAAAAGTTTCAGTTTCTTACAGTCTTGGAGATGGGAAAGTTCTTGGAGTCGGTGATGCGGACCTCGCCGCCCGACGTCTGCTCGGGCTCCTGGTCGAGCATCCTGTGGGTGAAGTTGAAGCGGGACTTCTTGGCGTGCTTGCCCTTGGGCCGTTCCTCGTCAATGGGGCCCGGGAGCGTGCCTTGGAAGATATATTTCTCGCCCTCGGGGAGGTGTTTGAAAACTTCGGGCTCGAGGTGGAAATTTTCGGCAATGACTGATTTGGGCGTGTGGGCAAGCCAGTCGGATAGGATAAAGGTTGATTCCTCGGAGAAACGGCCGTCGTCGAAGATGAGGAGGAACTCGGTGCCGTTGGGACTCAGTCCTTGCAGGGAGTGAGGTACGCCTGATGGGAAGTACCAGAGGTCTGTGTTGGTCACGTCTGTCAGCTTCTGTTGTCCTAGTTCCCGAAATCCACGTTGATCGACATCGTCAATAGATTGCCAAAAGCAGAGTGTGCTTACCGCCCTTCTTGAGGTCGTCGATGAAGTTGCCGCCCTCGTAGTCAAGCGCCGTAACGCGGACCTCGCCGTCCAAGACGTACGCCCATTCAGCCTCCTTGTGCCAGTGAAGCTCTCGGATGACGCCCTCACCAAGACGCATGTTCACGCCGGCAAGCTCGACGCTGGTGGACAACTCACGGACAGTCGTCTGTCGGGTCCATCCGCCTTCCTGTCGTTTGACAGATGGTGTCAGTGGTCGATTGTGCGCTTTTGTATGGCTTCAGTGCCACTCTGCCAGCTCAATTGGACTCAATTGGCGACGAAAACCAATTACTCACCTCAATCCGGATATGCGAATCCGCAAAACTCCACCGCATGTTGGGCATATTCCCCTTGTCCGTCGAAGGCGGCCGCACCAAATCCGGGTTCTGGCGCGAGCGCTCGCTGTTCCAGGGCCCCAGCACCGAGGCGCCGAGCCCGTTGCGGTAGGGAAGCGGGTCAAGGCCGTCGCCGACCGAATCGACGGCGCCGTCGTTGGGATCCCTGAAGCCCGGGACGTAGGGGTTGCTGGTGCTCTTCTTCTTGTAGCTTGCGGGGATGTCCATCCCTCGGAGGAGGCGCTCGCGGGGGCTGTCGAAGTGCGGCGCCGCCGAGCACAGCTCGCCGGCCGATGCCCAGAGGAGCAGCAGCTTGGCTGCCGTGGGTTGGGTGAGATGCATGTTGGGCCAAGAGTTTGTGGTGATGGAGACTGTTGCGATGGGACCGGGGGATGTAGTGTGCCAAGAGGGTAGCTCGAATTAGGGAAGGGCAATGGAAGTCAATTGAGTCTACAGTTGATCCTCTCTTACTTCAATGGCTAAGAATGAGACGTGAGGTAAGAAAGTCTTCGAGAAAGGACCACTTTGCCCGTGACACTGGGAACAAGAGACTATTTTATACCCCCTTTCAAGACTTCATCATCCGACTTAGCCATGCCAATACCAATGCCTTGACCTCTTCCTCGGCCTCGCCAATGTCGCAACCAAGTCGTAGTACGTAAACACGGGGGAGCTTACAAAAGGCACCATCCATCCGTCATAGTCATCGGCGCATCACCTCACCCGCCCATCGCTGTAGTCTGCAGGTTGAACCGAACAGTGACACACACACACACACACACACACACACACACAAACCAAGATCCCACGTCTGCCACACACCCACCAATCCGTCGACGCACATGCCGAACCACCCCCGAGACCCAAGCTCCCCCGCAGCTGTAGCAACAATGGCAAGGTAGTAAGGTACCTTACCACACTTACCAAACCAAGCAGCTTCGAAAGCTGGCGCTGCTGCATGCCACCTTGCATGGAATGTTCAACAAGAGCTCCCCCTCACTGGCTGAAACGCGGCAGAGCGATGGGCGTGGCACCTCTCGCCCATGCGGGGATGAACCAGTCAACTTACCTCCCCAGTGATAGCCGGCATGCCAGGGGAACAGAGGAACGCTTGCCGTAGACCAGGGCCAGGGAGGGGGGAGGGGAAGTAAGAGACTAATTGTGAGAAACTGGACGCACTGAGGTGGCCTGGCGTTTAAGCTCGTCACTCAACGGACCGCAATTGGCTTTTATAGGGGAGCTGCTGAAGCTCTTCTCCATCGTTCGCTACGACGTTGGCGGCATGGCATGTCTGCAGCAGGCCATGACGCAGGTTCCTGCGGCTTGAGCTCGACTCCAATGCAACTCGAATGCATCTCCAGGACCATCGATTGGACGGGGCATATGTCGGAGATCCTGGAGAAGAAGCTGGTCCGCGGCCAGGCGTTGTCAGGCCCCGGTTTCACTGCGTGACTGTAGTGGCATTCTGCACATCCCTTCTCAGACTGAGCTTAGCTTGAGGTTCAAGGCTATTTCTGATGGGCTTGCTTGTCCAGCTCGCGTTTCCCCCTCACTCTCTTGCTCAAATCCCACGCCCCCCTAAAGGCCCGAAAGTCACAGATAATACCCCGGTCCGTCGAATGGCCTCTTGCTATCCCGTCAGAACAGTCCGCCCAGAGATTCACGAGCGGGGATAGATCGCTCTTGGTCTTGGCTTTCTTTCGGCATTGCTTTCCGCCCTTTGGCCCATATAAACCAGGCTGGAAACCTGGAAACTTTTCGCGGGTGGACCACGGCAGATCCGAAGTGCTCGAGCTCTTGGCCTTTGGGCGTTTCTTCAGTCTTTCCAAAGCACAACGATTCAAAGAACATTGCGTGTCAGCACCCACCGGCTGTCTTTCTCCCCCATCCTCGGTACATCCATGTCAACTTGAGAGAGAGAGAGAGAGAGAGAGAGAGGGTTATTTATATCCGCATAGGTTTCCGTCAACCAACGTCACTTGGTCAGAGCTTCCAGTCTCTTCGAGGGGCATCCTATTTCGAGTGAAGTTGAAGCTGCTGCTTCTCGGTAACCTCTCTACCTCGCGATCAGAAGCGACCAATCCAACCAACATACCCACAACTCCGCAAAGATGAGCTCAACGGGCGGCAACTACGGTTCCGTCACCAATTCGGTGCCGGTCGTGAACGGCGACTCGCACGCCCACGCCGATGAAGAGCAGCCTCTCCTAGGCGGAGGCAACGGCGCCCGGAAACCGGCCTCCAAGTCTCTGCGGAAAAAGCTCACCACGGACGTCCAGCGCGACTGGGTCGATTTGGTCCTTTTGGCGTGCTATATCATCACCGGCCTGCTCGACAGCTCTTCCATCTCCATCTGGGGTTCCTTTGTGTCTATGCAAACAGGTAAGATCCCTTCCAAGTCTTCCTTGCCCACAATAACGGCCCGAAGCTTTCGCAATCCCACATTACTCACGCACCGCGTAAAACAGGAAATACAGTCTACATCGGCCTCGGCCTCGCCGCGCCCACCGAATCCACCCGCTGGATCAAATCCGCCACCTCACTCATCTCCTTCTGCCTCGGCTCCTTCTTCTTCAGCCGTTTCCACCGCTTCTTCTCTCCCAAGAAGCGCTGGGTCCTCTGCGCGTCCTTCATCGCCCAGACGATCCTTTGCGTCGCTGCCGCCGTCATCCTGACTGTTGGCCCTACGGCCGGCAAGGACGAGATCGCATGGAACGTCCTGGTGCCTATCGCCCTGATCGCCTTCCAGAGCTGCGGCCAGGCCGTCACGAGCCGTGCACTCAAGTACAACGCCCTCACGAGTGTTGTGTTGACGAGTATCTACTGCGATCTGTTCTCCGACGCTGAGCTTTTCAGCGTTCGCAACGCTGAGCGGAACCGAAGGGTCGGCGCGCCCGTCTTGCTTCTTATCGGTGCTATCTGCGGTGGCTTGTTTGCGCACAGTTCCCTGGGGATTGCTGGTGCTCTATGGACGGCGGCTTTCTTGAAGTTTCTCATCGTCTTGTCGTGGTTCCTCTGGCCTGGTGAACCTTCGGATGAAGAGTAGATGTGATGCAATACGAGTATCCTATTACGCAAGTATCGGAGAATTGGTCATTCTCGGTTGTGGCCTAGAGACTTGTCAAGTCACAGCAGCGTTCAGTTGCAGATAGATAAGTAGGGCGAATGAGGTCCCACGTCCAAACAGATGAGGCTTGGCGAAGGGGAAATCCAGACCATCCAATTTCACATATTTGTCGCTTAGATCACAGTCAAGATAATCCTTTATCGTGTCACTGAGGTACCTACAGTATATATACTTAGTACCTAAATACTGCACTGATATAGTCACTTCAGGTACTACCCGTAGAAGCGCGGCTGTGATTATGTCGCAACGACATGATTGCCAAGCGAAAGCATGAACAAGGATTGATTTAGCCAAGATGTCTTCATTTTCCAGCATGACATACCTGATGTGGATTGTATATCTACTACTCAAGGTATATTGACGGCAAGCGCAGACTCAAAGGAAAAAGTATTCGCTGTCTTCGTTTGCTTGCAGCAAATAATATGAAAAATGCCTCTGGCCTAGATACATGTACAGATATGCATAAGCACTCCGCGGAGATTCCGACAGCCCACAGACCGGTTACTAAGTGAGCGTTCGTGTTATATCCCCTCAACTCTTCTCCCATGGCTTCATGTTTCTATCCCTCCATTGCCTCTTCCCCGTGTATGCATTTCCTGCAATGTTCAGTGATGATGATTAAACTTGACGACCAAATCCATCTAGAACCCACGCCTAGCAAACTAGCTATGCTTCCAATTCGAATATGAACTTCTCGGGGCTCAACAACTCGTCCTTCCCAGCCGACCATTTGCCGACGTCGGCTGGAGTGATAGGAGCAGACCGATTCGAATCTCCCGATACTCGCGACCTCTGGGTGCTCAAGGAAGAACTAGAGTCGTCCAGATGGTCATGCATCCCAGACACAGCGCCAGCGCGTTCCCTCATACTTCTATATCGTTGGGTATTCGCCTTGCGAAGCTCAGCCACGCTTTTCAGAAGCTTGTTTGAACGAGGTGTTTGTGCTGTAAGTCGAACAGTTGTTTAGCCACCCATGATTCCATTGAACATTTAAACTCAGCCGGGTTCGAAAATTGTACTTGGAAGGAAACTCACCCTTTCTCTGACTTTCTTCGCTCATCAGCTCTCGAGGAAAGCCGCTGATTGGGAGGAATGCGTTACTCGAGTGCGGGTATGGCTCAGAGTCTGTTCGCAAGCACAGAAAGATGTTTGTGGTTGATAGCTGTTTGCTAACCACAATGCGAATCCTCTTGAGTTTGAATGTGCCTCGGAGATACATGTCAGTGATGCTTGCCTCCGGTACGGGTATCTTTGATGCTTCATCAGGCGGAGCCCCAGCTTCTTCTACGACAAACGGTAGACACAAAACGTGACCACACGGCAGTGGATGTTCAGGGAGCTCTCTGAGGCACGAAAAGCAAGTCGAGTGACTGATGAAGTCCCCCACACTACCTAGAGAGTAGTATAGGTCGTTGAGTTGATACCTGTGAAGATCGGCAGCGATCTTGTGCTCACTTTGCTCGCGCACTCGTGAGGTGGCATCGAGAAACTTGGCATGGTTCTGACGCAAGTCATTCCGAATCTGGTCAATCCATTGACCAGCAAAGTCTTGAAGATCAACATCTGACTGATAACTGCCTGCTGCAAAAATACGTCCATGTTTGTTCTGGTGACCTTTTGGATCATGCCCAAACTTGACGTTATAGCATTTTTCATATTTAGGATGAGAAAAAGTGCATGGCGCATAAAAGTCCGCGTATCCTTCTAAAGCGACATTGCAGAAATCCACGAAAGATTGAAAGAGAGGTTTCGGCATTTACCCAGGAAGTTCTGACGGACTGAGTCTAGCATGATGCAGGAGGATATCATTGGCACCATCTTTTCGAAGATCCGTTGAGTTCCTCCACCTTGTTGTGCAATTTGTGTCGAGTTGTTGGTGATTGAGATCGCCAAGTTCAAGATGTTGCCACTGAAGTCCTGTGGAATGGGATTGTGCTTAAGTGCTTCCTTGACAAAATCAAATGGGGTATCTAGGTCGCGAGAGAAGTGATCGTAAGCTGCGTGGAGGTAGACCTGCAACTTGTCGGCAGTTGCGAGCATTCGAACACGCTTCTTGGTCAGTAGAGACGCTTGGCATCTTTTGTTGATCAGCTCAAATAACTTCCCCATCTGATCGTCCATGAGCATGTAGCGACCGCGAGACGGAACTCGAATGACGGAGGTCGAAGCATAGTAGCAGTCGAGTAAGTCTTTGGTAGTGTTAATGGTTCGACCGATGTCCTGCCAAAGCCTGGCTTGCTCTTCGAATCGAGGTTCACGGAAAATCGCTCCACTAATGTCATCGAGAAGACGAGCAGTCGCGGTCTCAATATTCCATTCATCTTCATCCACATTGTCTGTCGCATTGAGGACAATGACTGCGTGGGGGAGAGCAGGCTGGTTCAGCGACTTGTCGATCGAAGCCGATCCCCATTCCAGAAGCTTGTCGAGGACAGTGGATTCAAAAGCCCTATCCTAGTCAGAAAGCATTGCTTCATGGAAAAAGATGGCAGCCTCTTACCTGGGGTTTCTCAGTACGAAAACAACCACGTCTGAGAAGGTGTAGAGCAGTCTGGGATAGAGTTGTGTGACTGCGTATTCTCTCTTCTTCGTTTCTGGTGTTACTGCCCATTCGAGGTCCCGTTGAGATGCGTAGCGCGATTTTCCGAACTTTCGCTTCGAGGATGTATCAATGACACCAGAAGAACGACTAGCAGTTGATGGCTTCGGCGATCTGCCTAGACCAGTCTTGCCCATGACATTCGTGACATCGTTGAGGATCCCTAGAGCCTCCTCTTTTCCCTTTGTACGATGGCGCAGACCTGATGGTACAGCTTCCCCGCCATCTAAACCCTCGCAATCTGCGTATAGTACAGGTGCTTGGGTGTTGTAAGACATCGGATCGGCATAGAGGTGGACATCGCCAGTTGTCGGAACGCGGTCGTTATTAGACGAAGTAACAGGCGACGGATACTTTGCCCCGCGGTCAAGCATGGCAAGCCTATCAATCAGCATCTTGATCAACGTGCTCTTACCGGCCCCTAAAGACAATCAGTCAATTGCGCCATCGTGAAAATGGTTGTAAGAACACCTACCTGTTTGCCCAATGAACGACACAAGCTGAGGGTACCGATTCCCATTGTCTGGGGTTTGATTATCGCTCATCAACGTGGCGAATCGTCCATAGTCTTGCAGTATGGGTTGATTGGTTGAGTCTCGCCCAACTCCAAACCATGTGGTATCTTCATCGGATTGGAATTCGAGTTCGTGCTCAGTCGTTGAGTGGGTGGGTTCCAGGATTTCGCCCAATCTCTGGACCACCTGGGGATTAGACTTCTCGTGCGGTCTACCATCCCAGCCGACAGCACCCGGCTCGTGAAGCTCCCATTCGGACCAGCAATCGTCACAGAATGCGAGATTATTGCATTGAATGCAGGTGAAAAGCTTCTTGGTCGTAGCACGACACTTGTGGCAGATTGCCGAGCGCGCTTTGCGAGCTGGGTCTGTCATGGTGTGACTTTTGCTAGAGTCTCCGAGTACTGGATGACATTCTCGGAGGAACCCAAGAAAGAAGAGATGTCTGAAATAAGAGGGATCCAGAACCATCCCTTTCAAAATCTCGCAACTTGAAGTAAGGCTGTGAGGCAACCGGGCCGCGGGCACCGTCACGCCTACTGCAATATTGCAGCCACCAGTGCCTCTGGGTCATCAAAAGAGGGCTCAAACTGGACTGATTGGAAGCAGTGAGGCTTTCTTGTCTTGGTTGCTGGAACCAATGCCCAATAGTAATTAGCTGATAGACTCAGCCCACCATCATTCAGAGTTGTGGCGTCTTCAGCAGGAGCGGTTCTAACCCTCGTCGGAGCGGCATTATGCAGGTAAGATTCAGCTTACATCGGAACCCCAGCCTGATATCTTACGTCTTGGTAAGCAAGTTCAGATCCGGTGTTTGAAAGTTCAAGCTGGTGCTATGGAATTTCTTTACCCTGCCAATACAGATTGGAACGACACTACATGTTCAATCCTTTGATCGTATATCTGCTGCCTTCGTATTTCCCTCAGCCACACCTGATCGAATGTCGAGTTACACTACGTACAAAGGGCCGAGGATCGACAATATTGCGTTACAATTCTACTTGTACTTATTTGAACCAAGAAATGGTCATACCATTCCACAGCTGTATCCAGACTCGGGAATTAGTTTGCGGAAGTGGATATATGCAGCTATGCTTGCCGACGTCAACAAAGACAAGTACATTTGAAGTGGGTTTGGCATGATATTCAAAGCAATTCGCTTTAAGTCTCTTATTGCTAGTTAAAAACCTGAGCTACCGGACAGCTTCATTTCTCAGCATAAAATTAATGCCCTATGTATGCACCTTCATTGCCAACTCAGTCATGCCTCTTGGCATTAGTATGTATTGCACCATCCGCAAGCAAGTATCTTTGGCACATTACTAAAGACCCTTGAAAGCTAGATTCATCCTTCTGGAAAACTCCAGGTAGCGGTCCCAATCCGATCCTTGATCGCTGCCGGCCGGTAGCGAAGGGCCGACAAAGCTCCCGACGCCAGCTCCGCCCAGAGCTTCTTCAATCTCCCAGTATTTCCCGCCGTCGATGAAGATCACCTCTCCATTCCTGTTGTTGTCACTCATGAGGAAAGCCGCCGATCGGGCAACCTGTTCGGGTGTGTTCAAAGCGAGCCCCGTGAGAGACACCATCTCCTCGTTGACGATACCGGACTTGGTCCAGCCTGGAGCGAGGGAGTTGAGCCTGATCGGAACAGGAAGCTCTTCCAGATGCGTAATGAGGCTACGCATAAGACCGAGCAAAGCATGCTTAGACGTGGCTATTGTGATTGGTTGTATTAGTCTTGCAGTTCAAATTGTGAGTATCCTGAAGTCAACATCGCCCTTGTTGCAAGATCATACAGATGACAATGCTGTGGCAAGTATCATCTGCGGGTAAATGGAAATCGTTGATAAAAGTGATACTTACTGTAATCAACAGCTTTGAATCTTGACCAAGAGCTGACAGACGCAGTAAGGACTATGCTGCCCCCGGTCTTCTGCTTGCGCATATGGTGAACGGCGAGTTTGACGGTCGAAATGACGCTGAGGAGATTCGTCTCCACACAGCTCAAATCTGGTGCTTTCAACTCTCCATCCACAGCATCAATCTCATCATCGATGAACCGGGTCCGGGCTCCGACTCCTAGTACCACTGCCGTTAGCCCTAGTTATTGTCCGCGGTACTCCGTCATCTTGTCCTCAATCTACTGGGTTTCATGAATCATTAAACTGCAGCGGCCTTGAACTCAATGGCTACGCAGACTAGTGGTGACGGCAACTTCAAAAGACAGTGTAACGAATTTGCGAGGTGGGCAAATTTACCGGCGTTTGCGAAAACAGCATCAATGCGACCTTCCCGCTCCACAGTACGGGCGAACACGCCACGAAGAGCTTGCCAATCGCACACATTGCATGGCTCGAAAGTTAGACGAGAGTCTATCGGAGACGGCTCGCCAGGCTCCGACGATTTGGGTAGACTCAGATCAATATTGGTAACTCGCGCGCCCAGAGAGAGGAGAAGGTTGACCGTTCCCAGGCCGATACCCGAGGAGCCGCCTGATAGATCTAGTCAGCATAGATCTTGGTAACAGTCGCTTTCAGAACATATCGGCTGTCTCCCTTGCTGCACAGTCGTGCAGTTCGAACCAAAACGGTGTAAGGTACAGTTTAGTCGCGAGGTGGATATACCTGTCACTAAGACAACCTTGTCTTTGAGACCGGCGAGGTCTTCATCGTAAATTTCGAAGCGCGACATTGATCCAATATAACGTTGAGGTGTCTGGCTTTAGTTCAGTTCGTCCGCTGTGATAGATAGATGGTTTGTTGTATGCCCTCAGACCTCGCTTCATATATATACATGTAGCTGATATCATTGCGCTTAAAGAACTCCGTCGGCGAATATGGGAAGACCGGATGGGGCGACTGCGCCTTTGCCGCCATGGCGTTAAATATAAAACAAACAAACAAACAAACAAGACCGGATGAATGACACAGGAACCTTGTTTCATTCCGTCCGCGGCCTACCGAGGTGCCTGTCCACCCCGCACACCCCGCTTCCAGCAGGCCTCGCCACTGGGTACGGAGACTAAGTGGCTATCAGTAATAAAATTGAGTTTATAACGGCTGCCATTTGTTAATAGTAATACTACCATGTTCTCCGATGCGGGTGGTGGCAGAACACCGGTCCCCTTTGGGCCTTCGGGGAGATTGGGAGTCTAGAACGCTAAGAAATAACAACTAGCCCCAGCCGCTAACATCTGAGGCATTCACAACTTTCAACTGATTCCTGAGTGGCTTGCTCAGGCACTCTTTCTTCTTTTAATCCACCAGACATGATATTATGAGAGGTACGATCAGGCTAGCCTCTAAAGCTGAAAGGTGAAAAGGAGTTTCCATGCCACGTCAGACAATGATGTGGTAGCTGTATTCAAAGAGCTTTTGTCTCGAGGAGTTAGTTTTACTGGCGATGTCGGATTGGAAGCCCAATTCGGCCGCGAGTAAGGGCAGAGCATGGGCCACCTCGAGGGAGTACAATTAGACCTCGACTACCTTTCCAACCTCCGGTTGGAATCTCCCTTTTACTCCTTACGCAGAATCAATCAATACAGAGATATTGATACTTCGTCACCCCCAGGACCCTACGGTTCGAACCAAATTCCCTGTGAAAGGAATACCAACAGGCGATTATTGACACAGTCAAGACGGCTTCGAAATAAGGCAATTTAGATATTTAGACCTCTGAGTTCGTCTCCTCTGATTTTGGTCTTGATCGCTGGAGCTTCAATGCGAACGCTCCAGTCCTCACCTGAATCTGAGTAGGAACACATTCGGGACACGTGCAAATGGTACTTCACATGGATTTTCAGAAATCTTGCATTTACATAGTATGATAGTACTCCAAGTTGTAGTTCTTCTATTCTCTGCGGAAAGGGGACTTGTGGGCAGTACACACTGCTCATCTGGACCAACGAGGCAAGCAATGAGGCAATACTACTGGTATTGACCGTTGGTTGGTGATGTTGTGGTGAAGGTGGCTGCGGTGGGCTGGATCAACCAGGAGGTGGATCAGGCAGCTGTTGCCTGGGGCACCAGCCACTGCCTCAGGTATCCACAGTCCCACAGGACTCGTAGCTGCTATTCTTTCAATCTCCCTATTTTCTGTACACATTCATTCCTAACAGGCTACCATGTACTGATTATATGCAGCTCTGGTCAGCCAGTCGGGCCAAACCCTAGCCCGAGGTAACATGAAGGGGACCGTGGCCGTCATCAACAGGACAGCCAGATCCGTCAGAGTCAAACTCAACTACGCAAGTAGCGTCGATACCAATAGCAATACCAATGAATTGAGTATCCTTCTGTTGTGTCCCGCTGCCAAGAACGTTGCCGTTGCTGTCCTTGACCTCGCATGTCTTGGGCGCGCCACCAAAGTCCGACTTGCAGTGGAAGACTCGTCCGGTATCCCAGCAGTCGCCTTCGATGGTGAACGCGCGGCCGTCACCAGTGTTGTAACAGGGAGAGTGGTCGTTGGGGTAGGACTGGTCGTAGACAGCCTCACCGGCGTCATTGAGAATGGCGAAGCCGGTGTAGCCGCCGTTGGTGCCGGATCCGTCGGGGCCACCAATGGCGCCGAAGGCGCCTGATGACCAGACGACTCGGAGATGCTCGGCGTAGGCAGATGTCGAGATGCCCAAAATTCCAAAGAAGACGGCGCGAAGGGAGGAATGCATGTTGTTTAGTTTTTGTAATGCTTCGAAAATAGTGTGATAGTGTTTTGATGTTTGGTTGTGAAGTTGGTGTCGTGGTGTTATAGTATGGTTGTTCAAGTGTGGTCTGTGAATTGGAGTGTGATGTGGTACCTTGTCGTTGTCAGAGTTCTTTGTCGGGGGTCTTCACACAGGAGATTTATACTCATGTTGAGACCTTGCCTTAGGTAGGTACTAGAGAGATGTCACAAACTCCGATTTTCTAGGCATCTTCAATTCTCGACAGTCTGATGTCATAGTATCAAGTTCCATTGTTGATCAAGTTGTGCATGGTTTTCTGGTTACCTGTGCGAAATCATAATATCGCGAATCCACTGAAGGAATCTCTTCCTCGCTAAGGATGAGACGAATGATCTCTTTTGCCAATTCAAGTGGGGCTTGATGCCAAATTTGGAGCGAACTTGTCGATTATCCTACAATCTCGCAGGCTTTGGCACGGGTATAGTCGTTCGTTGAACTCGAGAAGGTTGCCTAAAATGGGTTCAGGTTAGAATTTTCCGAAGCCTAGCTGAAGCCTTGCTGATGGTCACTCCACAGTTGCCCACTTCTCAACATCCTATGATGTAGATCATCTTAAAGTTTGCTCAGCTGAGAAGCCGGGGATGGGTTGGCAGAGCCCCCGGTTCCATTGATCGACAACGGCATAAGCCTGTACCTAGACCAACTTCAAGTCCGACTGAATTTGTGTGCCGTACTGCCGCATGCTACCTACATGTAGTTTCCTTCGCATCCTTTGATGTAGATCTTGTTCACTTGTCGCTCGCATCATTATGAACATCACTCCCTCAAGTCACGCGCCCAGTCAAGCTGTTAAGGGTCATCACCACACTGGTCGTATCCGACCCAACTGATGTACCTGGCGCCTCTTCCGCATTCCTGGCTGAGGGATGAACTCACCCGCTTTTTCACTGAGATTTGGTCTGGGATACCTTCTTTTAGTTGAGCTACCTAGTTGATTGTCAAATGGCACGTGCCTTGGTGCTTGTTACCAACTGAGGGAGTGACTGAGTCCCCGCATAAAGCCACTGGGAGTAGAACATCTTGAGGGCACGCGTAGGAAATCTGTTGAGGTGCTATGTGTTCGTTGATAAGCGTCACGGAGTCTTCCACTTCTGGAAATATTGTGGCTAGTATTACCTTACTTACTTAAACGCCGTTTACAATCTCCATGTTCCGACGGTTTGGCTTTCTAACAACCCATCGATATGTGCACGAGTCTACAGAAAAGCTTTAATCACAAAAGCCTCTCGAAGTGATTGGCTTAAGACCCCAAGTCAGCGGTGTCTCTCTCAAAACTTGAGTCGAACATAATGCATTGCACCTAGGAGTGAATATGTACTAACGTTAATTCATGTCTCTTTATAGTCGCACATATTATGGCGCCAAGCTACGGCCCAACACGGACATACAATCGCTAGGCCAGCAGTGAGAAAAACCTTGGCCTTGCGCTCCGTGCCTTTGGCGTCTAGCAAGCGTACGCGTTAAGCACGGGGTAGCTTACGAAGGGGGGGGGGGGGGCGTTAATACTTACCAGCACGCAATTCTCGACGGCGCATGTCCTGTTTCCCATCATGTTGTGGTCAATGCGACGGTTGTTTGTACTTTCTTGAGGCAAGCCTGATTGGGCCATGAAGTATGCCGAAGCTGGACAAGGGTGATGAACATGTCTTTTCTTGAACCAATGTGGTGTCGAGAAATGCCAGCCAAAAGTCAGCTCGATGTCTGCTTGCAAGGGATTGAGAACACGGTAGTCAGACCGGATTGCTGCATCGGGCTTAGGACTATCGTGCAGCCAGCTGAATCCGTGCAATGGTGTGATTCACGGTTTCGACTCAGCTGAATTTTGGAAACAGTATGAGCCGGAGCAGGCTGGGCCGAACCAACATATAAGTAGTACCTACTTCACGCACGTAGGCACCGGCTGTGTCCATGTAGTCTCAAAAGAACCAACTGATTTGGCAAACCCTCGGCTTGGGGTCTAGAATCACCATGTTCTTCCATCGAGTCGCCGTGCCTATCGCGCTTCTAAGCCTGCAATGTATTAACGCGCGGTTTGTGACCTTTCCATACAAGTCATCCGACACTGAACAAGTCCCTTTCGAGGTAGGCAGAATACTTCTTTCTTGGTATCCTAGGTACCTACAAAAGGTACAGGTTTATTCACACACAATATTCCCTAGGATCCCCGTATTTTGGAGGGCCTAGTCGCAGAGGCCATCGCCCATCGAGGGGATAGGATAGGGTCTGGGGGATATGGAGACGTATTCGATGTCACCAAAGAAATAAACGGCCACCACGTTGTTCTGAAGACCATCGATCCAAAACACTCTGCCGGCGAATAAACTGGAGAATGGGCGCAGAGAGAAGCGCAAAATCTGAATACGGTCCAGCAGCTCGTTGCCTGGGGTGCAAAGGGCAACCCACTCGAGACGGATGGAGTACAAATGGCATACTTTGTTACGATATACATGAGCATGAAGCATGAAGACGCCGTGAAGGCAGGAATGCCTGGCAACAATGATTGCCGTTCCGAGTTGACAGAGGAAGCAAAAGCTAGGTACGTCGCGGAGTTCCGAATGAAGTCAAAGTAAGTCTTCTCGATGAGCTGGTCCTCTCGCTTCTTCCTTATTTCCTTTCTTCGTTCTTCCTTCTTCCTTGACCTGTTCGACATATCAATTGAGAAGAAGCTTCTGACTTGGTCTCAGGGACATGGGGCAAAACAATATGGTCTTTAGGAAGATTTCTGACCCTGATGGTTGGCAAGCGGAAATCATTGATTGGGAAAGCGCGGAATGGCTAGGGGCGGGCACACAGCCTCATGCGCCGCATTGGGAGACTATACAGTAATCACACAAGATCTTTCATGGAAGCTTTGTGTGCCAAGGGTAGTGCTGCATGCATTCAATCCAGCCTGTGTCAACTGATAGCTTCAGGAATACAACACCAGATTCTACGTTAAGAACTCGTAAGACAGAAGAAAGGTTCCCATTTTTTTTTTCGTAAACGCTCCACTTGATTCCACAATCTCAGACAGGCTTTTCATCGATCGGCTATGGCCATGACGATGGCGAAAGCAAATCGCTGCAGTTCAGCACTTATACGATTCTATTTGGTCCTTCATATGAAGCTCATTCATGAAACGTCCACCGAGTTAGATTGATATCTAAGAACAATTTGCATATGCCGAGGGGACTACGTCAACCTATCTATTCACTAACCAGTAGCCACGATGCTCAAAAGTCTTATGTTTATTGATGGGCATATGGAAGGCAGTACTCAGTTACGCAAGCACCAGATAAAATCACGTAACAAGGCAGTAGTTAGAGTCGCGTTTTAATCATATAGAACCATTTGATAGCTTGCTGCCTTTCTTCTCCATTCCAATTATTCTTACTTGCCAAGCTTCTCCACAAACTCTGTTTGGCTGCTTTAGTAAGTACTAGCGATAGAACACGTATTCCTCGCAGCGTTGACGATGATCGTACTCGGACCCGAATTACCCAGATGGGTGATTATTAAACCGGACTCCTTTCCGTGTCCGAGGCGGTCCCACGCACATACGACATTGTTTGGTCTTACAGCTCAAAAGACAGGTAAACTCTATCATTACAGGGCCCAAGCGAGGTCTCCATCATGCAAGCCTGAGTTCATTACTAACACTTCCGGACTCTAACACTGACCCGTCCGGTCCGTCTTGTCGCCTTGGCCCCACCTTAACTCCGCGGCATTCGGGACCTTCGATCGAATGGCAGGAGAAGGATAGCCCCGATGGTGATGCACAAGCGGGACGGATGCTGATCAACTGCATGCCGCGTGGGACAAAGTTCCACTCATGATGGAACGAAACCTCGAAACCTTACACAGCCCTTGCCCAATTCCGGTGCGGGGATGCTATCAATGCCGCTTCTTTCATGTGCTGGTGTCCCAATCATCTCGAGTTTATAATGTCGTCAACCTGTTCATCTCGTTAATGTCGGAAGTCAAGACAAATCACCACCGTCTTTTATCCTTTCATTCACCATGGCCCAAGCATTCGGAAATCTGCCCAGCGGAGTGTTGAAGGCTCCAGAGAAGTTCACTCTCCAAGTACCGGATCAGAGCCTGGACGAATTCCAGCAGCTACTGAAGCTTTCCAAGATCGGGCCGGAGACATGGTACAACAAGCAAGAAGATGGCCAATTCGGCGTATCTCGCAAATGGCTCACAAACGCCAAAAAGGCTTGGTTGAAATTTGACTGGCGCAAGCAGGAGGCCCGCATCAACTCCGTCCCGAACTTCAAAGCAAAGGTCGAGGACGCGGATCTCGGAACCGTGGACGTCCACTTCGCCGCCTTGTTCTCCAACAAGAAGGATGCGCTGCCAGTCATCTTCATGCATGGCTGGCCTGGTTCTTTCCTGGAGTTCTTCCCCATGATCGATTTGCTTGTTAGCAAGTACACACCCGACACACTGCCTTACCACGTTATTTTGCCGTCACTGCCCGGTTATGGTCTGTCTGCTGGCTCCATCCCACTTGAGAAGGAGACCAAGCAAGATGCTGTCGCGCGCACTCTGCATCAACTGATGCTTGATCTTGGGTTTGGCAACGGGTACGCTGCTCAAGGCGGTGACGTGGGAAGTTTCATGGCGAGAATCATGTCTGGCTACAAGGAGTGCAAGGCAATTCATCGTGAGTGAGATTGACACCATCAGACGACATCGAGCTTCCTTTACTAACATGCACATAGTGAATATGTTGATGCCTAGCCCTGAGGATGCTGCGGGTGGTACCGATGGCTTAACACCCCAGGAGCTTGAGCAGACTGGTAGGATGTTGAAGTGGCGGGCGACTGGAATGTCGTATGCTCTGGAGCATGGTCTCCGACCAGCAACCATCGGGTTGGTTTTGTCAGCAAGTCCATTGTCATTGCTGGCTTGGTACGTTGCCCTTTTCTCACAGTCTTTTGATCTTCTTGAACTGACAGGAAATTCCCAGGATCGGCGAAAAGTACCTGGAGTGGGTGGACTCACGTTACCCGCTGCAACTGGAAACCATCCTCGAGCTGGTGAGTCTCTACTGGTACACGGATACTTTCCCTAGAAGTATCTACCCGTATCGTCCCTTGGCACAGGCCATGTCGAGTGAAGGCGGTGGTGCTACATCTATCCCTACCTCGAAGGAGACGCCGTTGGGATACTCGTGCTTCCCAGCCGAGATTGGTTTTATGCCGAAGGCGTGGGCTGAAAAGTCCTTCCCCAATCTCAAACTCTATCGCACGCATGAGAAGGTAAGAAGGAATCGAGATACTCTGTATATGGAATAGCTTACTAACTTTTAACCAGGGCGGACACTTCGCGGCACTTGAGCAGCCGGCGGCGTTACTGCAAGATGTGGAAGATTTCTTGGCTTCTGTGAAAGCTACTTCCAAGCTATGATCCCAACTAG